TAGGCCTATAATCATGACTCCAACGACCCCTCGCCCTCAGCCCACCAATCGTCTTGTCCTCCAACGGCGGCGACACCTTATACGCATCCGAGATCTGCAGCAGATAGATCTTATCGCCGGGCACAGAGCGTGCAAGCTCATCCATGCTCGCACTAAACCGCTTCTGTAGCTCGGACTGCGAGACGGATTCAATCAGACCAGACTCGGTAGTCGGATCACCCCATTCACTGCCCGCAGTCTGGAACGTGTCCAAACACAAGCCGCAATTCGGGCGATCGACGGCCTTCACTATCTCCCAAACTTCCTTCCACCCGGGCGCGTGGGTCGACCAGCACCAGTTCTCGTAGGCGAGGCGGAAATTGCGTTTTGCGAGGATTTCGGACAAGAGGCGCAAATCGGCGATGATCACGTCGCGTTCTTTCTTGATTAAGTGTTCTGGTGTGTCTGTTGCTCCGACCTGAATATGGTATTAGCTGGTTGCTCTCATGATCTTTGAAGTGTTCAACATATATATATCGCTGCCATACATACCTGCAACATATCTGTACCCACAGCATGCATAATCTCCATCCAACCTGTCGCTCTAGCAAATGCCTCCTCACGATCCACGGAGCCCTTGACCCAGCCTTCGAAGTTTGCAAATGGCTGCAACATCATGATTTTCAATCTGTGCTCTTCACATAGTTTGCGGATTTCCACGGCCACCGGCATAATTGCGGGATAGTCATCCGGCGCGATTGGTTTACCTGTGATTTGTGCGCCATAGTCTAGGATGTCTGGGAAGGAGAGCTCGATTGCTCTAAAGCCTGCTTCACTGATTGCTTCGAGGCGGCGCGGGAGTGTGTCGTTTGGGCTGCAGCCGATTGAGCAGGAAGCGTATGAGAGGGGGATTTTTTGGAGGCTTGCGTGGGGGATTGACATCTTTATTTTCTTTTCCTTCCTTCTAACAACCGTCAGGCAAAATTAGTATGGTGTATCGTGACCTTGTTGGGGACTGTTGACATCGGCGAAAACATATAATTCACTGGATGTCTGGGGAGAGAGCTTCTATGAAAGATTGCTATGCTTGGTACCATTAGGTATATATTTGCCTCATTTGTTTCCGTTTTGCCCATTTCTTCTTCATTCTGTTTTCATTGTGATGTAATGTTGGATTCTGCTCTCGGTTAGGGCTTGTGTCGTCAGCGGAGTATCATATCAGCCCATATCGAGCTTGGCCACAATTTGAGTCTTCCATAGACCCTACATTCATTAATTTTGCATCATTTGCCCCTTCTGGTCAAACTTGCTATGTATGAAAGAGGAAGCGCACGCCGTTGGCTAGTTCGTGGCGTTTCTGATTGCATATTGACAACGTCCCGGACCCCAGATCCGATCGCCACAAGCTTCTCGTTCAAGAAGAGCGAAAGTCATCCCAGACATCTTCATGCGAATATCTGCCACATATTTTGCCCTTGCGCTTTGAATCGCGACCTCCGAGTGAGCCAGCCTTATAGAATACGACCAATTCACAATGCCGCTCCCCATCAAAAGCATCGGCGTGGTCGGAGCCGGAAACATGGGCTCTATGATGACCCTCCGTTTTGCTGAGCTCGGCCTCGAAGTCTCAGTGTGGGATATAGAAAAGAAGAACGTCGACGAAGTGGTGCACTACGCAAGAGATGACAAGAGCATCACAGGCCGAGTTGAAGGCTTCTACGACATCAACAAATTCGCCAAGAGCCTCGAGGGAAAGTCCGACCGGAAACTATTCATGTTTTCCATCACGCACGGCGAGCCCGCAGACGAAGTACTACGCATGTTGAAACCCGATCTGAAAGAGGGTGATATCATCCTCGACGGTGGAAACGAGAACTACCGAAACACCGAGCGGCGCCAGAAAGAGTGTGCCGCCATCGGCGTCGCTTGGATTGGAATGGGCGTATCGGGTGGGTATCAGTCTGCAAGACGGGGACCAAGTCTCTCACCTGGCGGAGATGCCAAAGCCATCGAGCGCGTTATGCCATTTCTGGAGTCGTATGCGGCCCATGATCCCAAATCTGGGACTCCGTGCGTGAAGCGCATGGGTCCCGGTGGATCGGGACACTACATCAAGATGGTTCATAATGGCATCGAGGGTGGGATGCTTTCTGTTCTTGCTGAAACATGGCAATACATGCATGAGGGACTGGCCATGGAACATGGCAGAATTGGAGATATCTTCGCCAAATGGAATGAGTCTGGCGAGTTGCGAGGTAACTACCTAATTAACATCGGCGCTGATATGTTACGTACAAAAAGAACGCCCAAAGGTGACCGCAAAGGCGAGGGAGCTAGTCGGGATGATGGATATGTGCTCGATGATGTCCTTGACAAGGTCGTTCAGGACGACGATAACACCGAAGGTACTCCACTTTGGTGTCTCATGGAGTCTGCCGCCCGGCATGTCTCTTGTCCGACGTTAGCGGCCGCTCATTACATGCGAATTTCAAGTGGAAACCGCATAGAGCGAGCGCGAGCTGCGAAGAAGCTAGAGATGCCCATGCCGAAACCGATCGAGGGAACGCGGGACCACGCAGTGATCATCGAGAACCTACGACAAGCTGTATACTGCTCGTTCCTAGCATCGTTCTGTCAGGGACTGGAGCTCATTTCCCGGGCTTCTATAGACGAAGGCTGGAATGTCAATTTGGGCGACTGTCTGCAGATCTGGCGAGCGGGATGTATCATTAAGTCCGAACACATCGCGGATATATTGCAGCCGCCGCTGGCAGCCCATAATGAGGTGACCAACACCAAGTTCGTGGATGCGGTCGCGCATGAGTTGCGCCAGAACTTCCATAGTCTCAAGCAGGTTGTCATGGAGGGGACCATGTTTGATCAGTATATTCCGGCGCTCTCGGCTACTCTGGAATATCTCAAGTATGAGGGTGGATTGGCACTGCCGACTAAGTTCATGGAGGCGCAGCTGGATTACTTCGGTGCACACAACTATAACAAGCCTGGTATTCCAGGTGAAGATCCAGGGCCGGTTTACAAGGGTCCTCATCATTATGAGTGGTTGCCAGCTTAGATTGGTTCGAGTATTTTACTCCCGACTCTGTCACCCAAGTTGTATTTATCTTTCCAAATTGTACATGTATCCAAATGCACAAAAGAATATCTTCAAAACGTTCTTGACCATAATAAATCACGACCTTGATAGACACGTAGAGCTAGGTGTTGTAGATGTGCCTTAAAGATTTATAGATCGCCTAAAAAGGTATGTGGCCGCCTCAGGAACCCACAGCACGTGGGTCGATCGACAACCAATCGGAGAGGCGCATATTGGCCGCAGCCTCAGAAATTTGAAGATGGCGCAAGATGCGCTGGATCTTAGGCTTACGTTCATTTTCTTCTATATCAAAACCATTCCGTCGAATTGAGTCCCCGAAACAGCTCGCTCGCAGAATGGCTTCTCTCCCTACCACATACGACGGTACGTGTGCTTCTGCTTTTCTCACATCACTACCCCTCATACCCCCACTTCGATAGAAAGCTGACGATAGTGAATCTGACAGGCCCCGTCCGAATCGCTGTCATCGGCGGCACCGGTCTGCGCGAGTTGCCCGGCTTCACTCAGGTGGCTTCGCTGGATATCACAACTCCCTGGGGCGTTCCTTCCTCGCCCATCACTATTCTGCACCATGAGTGTAAGCACAACAACAAGGTTGTCGCCATCGCCTTCCTGAGCCGCCACGGCTTGCACCACCAGATCGCTCCCCATGAGGTTCCCGCCCGTGCCAACATCGCCGCGCTGCGCTCTATCGGTGTCCGCAGCATCATTGCTTTCTCCGCCGTCGGCAGTCTCCAGGAGGAGATTAAGCCCCGTGACTTTGTCATCCCCGACCAGGTGATTGATCGTACCAAGGGCGTGCGCCCGTGGACTTTCTTCGAGGGCGGTATTGTCGCTCACGTCCCCTTCGGTGACCCCTTCGATGAGGGTATCGCCAAGGTGGTGCGCGAGTGCGGACACAGCCTCGAGGGTGATGGTGTCGTCCTGCACGACCGTGGTACTCTGATCTGCATGGGTATGTAAAGCCGTAACCTCTTCTCACGATAGAACATCGCTAACCATGTCTTTTAAAATATACAGAGGGCCCCCAGTTCTCCACTCGCGCTGAGAGCAAGATGTACCGCTCATGGGGCGGCAGCGTCATTAACATGTCCGTCCTCCCTGAGGGCAAGCTCGCCCGCGAGGCCGAGATCGCTTACCAGATGATCTGCATGTCCACGGACTATGACTGCTGGCACGAGACCACCGCCGACGTCACTGTCGAGATGGTCATGGGTAACATGAAGTCTAACGCCGATAACGCTCGCCGTTTCATTACTGCTGTCCTTGATTCCCTTGCCAGCGATGAGCACTCCGAGCTCGTCCAGGCTAAGCACCTGGCTGGTGGTATTAAGTTCGGTGTTAGCACCCCTCAGGCTAACTGGAAACCCGAGGCTAAGGAGAAGCTGGACTGGCTTTTCCCTGGCTACTGGTAGATATAGAGGTTTGGGGATTGAGGCAGATATTGATTTGCCTTGTCACTTGACGTACATCTGATGATAGCATATATGCATTATAGTTCTAGAATACCGACATGATAGGCATGAATGACATGTGAATCTAGAATGATATGACTTCACGTTCAGTTGATTCCACTTGTTTTAGAACTAACCAATATTTTTGTGCGGGACAAAATATATATCAAAGGCTCTGGTTCAAGTTAGTATACTAAAATGGAGTAGAAGCTTCTAGTAGTCCGGCAGTCAAGGTGTGCACCGTGGCACCAGAGCTACCAGGAAAGCAATACATGTTTGCAAATGATATCTCTATGCGGAAGTTCCTTGATATTAGATGGCAGGGCGTTAAATTAAGCCCGAAAGATTACCACATTTGGTGCGTCGTTGCGGCATACAAATTGTATACATCAAGGGATCCGTTAAATCTCCATGACAGGCCAATCCTACCAATTCACTCTCCCTGTCTTGGCTCAGCTTCTGGGAACAAACGTCCAATTACCCCCCGGCAGCCTACTAGCCACACCACCGGCCCCAAGTGCAACCCTGACCCCATTGGCGCTGATCAAGGTCCCGTTCTCCCCTGAGAAAACAACGTCCCCTGTAGTGCCAATGGGCGTGCTGAAGCGCAGATGCTGGTACGTCCCATCTCGCACCTCAAAATCAATTGCAAATGTGCCAAGCTTCGTGACGAAACCCGCATCGACAGATGTCAGATTGCCAGGCTGTGGAGCGATGGACCATGTCGCTCCCGCCGCGGACTTCAGCCGTAGCCCAGCGGCGTAGTTCATGAGAACGGATGTCGGGCCAGTAGACCAACCGTGCGCATGCGACACGCGGAGGTCGTTAGTGTACGGTTCGTACTGCAGCGACCCATCGGATGAATAGCCCTCGATGAAGGTTGAGTTGGTCATGCGTGGGTCATCCATCATAAAGCCCCATTCTAGACGGAGTAAATCCAACGCGGAGTTGGGGCTCCCAGCGATGTAGTGCGCTTGCAGCTCAAACCCACTGATGAAAGGTGATATAGTCCGTCCGGCTTCCGGGGCAGGCGCACCGTATTTTCCCCAGCGGTTGCGCAGAGACTGGGAGATTCGTCGGATCTGGGATATTGACTGGGTTAGGTTGGACTTCACAACCCAGACGTTGCCATCTTGTGGGTAGAGGGTCGTGGTCTCGTTGTCACGGAAGAGGCCGGTGCTGTTATCCCAGAGGTGCAGGTTCGCGGCAGCCTTGATATTTCTTGCTTTGGAGGCCCATACATGCTGGACAGAGGTGTCGTTGAGAACGGCTGCCAGGTTCAGACCTTGGTTCAGGACATAGTGGAGGAGGGAGTTGGCTTCGATGTTCTAGTCCTGTTAGCTTTTACTTTGCTTCTCTCTGAATCATATTTCTATGTGACACTAGCAGGAGGGAAATGGTAACATACATGACCACCCATTCCAAAACGTAGCCAGTCTGAACTAGCAGTGATATTAGCCAGGCCGGTGGCGTCGACACTTGACAGCGCATAGTCGACGCCTCGTTTGAACTGATTCCAGTGCCGAGACAACCAGTCCAGGTCGCCGGAATAAAGATAGTACAGAGCAAGGCCGTTGAGACTATGACAGTGGTACGTGAAGCTGATGGTATCAGCAAAAGGGCGGACTAGCATATGGTAGACGGCCGTCTTCCTTTTGCAAACCGAACAGTAGCTCCAGTGCCACCCTTACGCTATATAGGTCGTACGTGCTCACGCCGATCGCCTCTAGTGAGATGGACATATCGCCGGGCCATATCAATCGATCTCTCTTAGCGCCATCGGTGAGAACGCTGCTGCCATTTGAAATAGTGTAGTTGGTCCACCACGGAACGGTCTCCGGGAGCGCAATGGTCTGCGTGCTGTTGATTATGTGGTACCACGGAAGAGCGTTGCCCATGGCTGGGTTAATGGTCGACAGTTGGTTTGTATATGCTCCGGCATACCAGATCCGATTTAGCAAGTCATCGTTAGAGTGGAAATAACCGGTGTATGCGCGCAGGTTCTGCGTTGGTGCGGCTGTGAAGTTGACCGTCACGCGATTCACAGATACCGCCGCCGTCGTATTGCTAACCAAAGTCATGTACCGGAAGCCGCCTCTGTTGTGCTTTTCTGCTGCTGTGTAGGTACTAGGTCCACCTGCGATGGAGAACCAAAGAGGGCTGTCAAATCCTGCGTCCGCTGTGGCGTCGCAAGCCTGCTCACTGATGTATAGGCTTGATTCAGAAAAAGTGACACCAATGAATGCATCAGAAGAAGCAGAAGCGATGTCGATGGAAACTATCCCGGCAACATTCTTCTGGAAATCAAAGGTTACTGATGAGGGGCCATTGAAGACAGCTGGGCGCATGTCACTAGCATTGGTCAGAGCTGCTGGAGTTGTGACGGAGCCATTTACGCCGACTACCGCTGGGGGAATCAAAATTCTCGAGGACGGTGCATAAATATACTCGGCATAGGGTACAGCCAAACAAGCTGGAACGAAAAAGAAGGGGATAATTGACCTCATACTGAATGGTTTAAGCCACGTTACAGACTGAGCATTCGACTAAGTATTTATGCTGGCGGGCATAGTGGTCTTCATGTATCCAGATGCACCCATAAAGGGATATCGGGCTAACATTACCACGAGGTGAATAGTTTAACCCCGCAAAAATCGGCTATAATACCAGCCATTTCTGTGCCGATCGCGATGATCTCTTTTAAGGCGGAGGCCGGGGGCTTGCTCAACCGAAGACCGAATTGGTCATACATATTCTTTAGAGAAAGTTTCCAAGCTTCACGGATATTTATGGCTAGGAACCTGCCCTATGAAGGGCAGACCATTCAGCATTGGGAGAAATTGGTCAACCTCAATGGTCGTGGTACCTTTATTCTCACCTAAACAGTTCTTCCTCATCTAAGCCATAGGCCCTAAGAGAGGTAGTTGCTCAAGATTAAAAGGCAAGTTGTTGTATTAGGTCTGAGAAATTACCCGATTTGATGCTTAGTTCAGGAAGAGTCATCCGCTTATGCGGCCTTGTAATGTCTTTTCAGTTGGTCTTTTTAGCTGTATGTGAAGGCTTTAAAAAAGGATACCTTGCAAGAGACTTTTCTTTGTATAATCAGTGATTCATCATGTATTTGTCTTTTCTGGCCCTTAGATTTGAATCTAAGCTGGTACTGGGTACATCATTCGCCAGTGATGTTGAGTCATGGCCTTCGCGATGAAGAACCGCACCCAGCGTAGATCGCCAATACAGTCATCGTCCTCGGTTGCTGACCAAATTGATATGAAATTATCTTCCGAAGTCTGAAGCACCTCACGTAAGAGTTCCTCGTCTGTGGTTTCCTCGTCTGTGATCTCCTCGTCTGTGGTTTCCTCGTCTGCGATCTCCTCGTCTGCGATCTCCTCGTCTGTGATTTCCTCGTCTGTGATTTCCTCGTCTGTGATTTCCCCGCCTCTGATTTCCTCGTCTGCGATCTCCTCGTCTGTGGTGTCCTCATCTGTGATGGTGTGTTCCGAGCTTGCACTGTCTCGCCTATCTATATCTCTGCAAGGCAGTGGAAAGGTTTTTGTAGCTTCCATGTGACCATCTCGAGCAAGCATTCGAGTTTGTGATAGTCGACCACTCGAAGATGCGGAAAATCGCCCACCAAAAGATCTATTTGGTAGTGTCTGCACTGGCAGAACATCAGGGATGAGACTGACAAAGTCGTCACAAGTAAAAGAACGAGCCCTAATGGCCTCTAAAAAGGCTTTCACATATTTTATTTGGCCCTGGGAAATGGCTAGCTCTAGAGGACTGACAGTCCCCGGGTTCTTGAGCAGGGGGTTTGCTCCTAGTCCTAGAAGCTCTTTTGTCAAGACTAGTGTCCTGAGTTTTGTAGTCAGGAACAGAGCAGTACGGCCATATGAGTCCAATTGATTGATATCAGCACCACGTTCCATGAGAAACTGTACTGATGCGCATGGAAGTATGTGATCCAACCATGGATGCCCATTGGGCTGATAAGACTGTCGTAATTGCGCGTGTTCACCATCCACGTCAATGACCCGGCCATTTTCGTCTCTCAGTGTTTTCACAACTAGGTGTAGCAATGGCGAGAGCTCCCCGCGGTGCATGTATGTGGAAGTAACATCAAAACCCTTGTCAGCAAATAATTGAATTGTTTCTACTTTCTTGTTAAGCGTAGCGGCAACAAGGGCAGCTTTGCAATAACTGTTGTCTGGATCAAGCTCAAAATTCCATTGTGCAAGTGCTGCTTGGAATTGAGCAACAGGGCAAACGGCCGCCGCGTGCTCCAGGTACGAACTAGGTTCTTCCCAAGCTCGTTTGAGAATGTCAAAGTATGTGGGTATCTTGTCAAATGGTTGGATATCCCCTTTCTCAACTAAGAATTTGGTAGCTTCCACGTGGCCTGCACACGAAGCTTGAGGGCCAGTGGAGCTTGTCACCATCGAAATCAAGGCCTCCACGTCTTGGTCGGTGAGAATCTCAAAAGTGCTTTGCATCGCGAGTATAAACTTGTCTGAATAACACACCGCATTCAATGCAACTTTGCCGAGTCTCTTGAAGTCCTTTTTTCCAACTTTGTGGAGAAGGCTGAGCAGAATGGCCGTTTCGCCCTTTTTTGCTGCAGAAGAAACATCCTGTTCAGAAACCAGATACCCTGGGCAACGAAGAAATGTTTCTATAATTTCGGCATGTCCGTTATTCACTGCACGGGACACGGGCGTATGTCTCATTTGAGACAAGATAGGCCTACACCCCTTGCCAATCAATCTTTGAGTCAGAGACATGTCTCCAGTCTCTGCTGCTACAGCAAGCAGGTTGGATTGCTCAAGTGGAGTAGTAGCTGCGAGTCGTGTTTCAAGATCGATTCGGGCCAATATCGTCTGGGTAATGTGTGGGTTTCTCCATGGAGATGGCCAAGGGGGTGGGAATACATCACGGTGACAAGTTTTCAACATTGACTCCCAGCCGATGGTGCTCATAGCTTCCATAAGTTCGGGAGGTGTATTGTCTAGGAAGAATAATACTATGTCTTCGTAGCCCATTTTTATTGCTGTCTCAAGAGCCGAAGGATGGCCATATTCGGAGACATAGCCTGAAGGTGGATGGGTAAAATCAGCACCGCGTTTGATCAGATATTTAACAATCTCCAAATGGCCTGCTGCTGTGGCAGAATGAAGGAGATCAAATGCTGAATCTTGATCTTTGCATTTACTCTCCTCAACTAGATACTTAACCATCGGCAAATGCCCACCCATAATCGCAGATTGGAGTATTGTTAGAGTCATCCTCATGTCAATATGGTCCAATGAGCCCCCCTGAGATATTAGGAACTTGACTGCATCCAACTGACCACACAGGGCTGCGTGGCTCAAAAGATGTGAGGATCGAACAGTAGACCTTGTGATAATTGAAGGCAGGTTGTCAATAAATATCTGAAGAATCTCCACATGACCATTTCCTGCTGCGATCATCATGGGCGACCTCGATTCGAGTTTATAACCAACGTAGCAGCCACGTTCCTTCCACCAGAATTCTGGTGTTTCCAGGAAATCAAACAACCTGTAACCAGCAGATACTAGCTTTTGTAGAGCATCTGAATTGCCGGTCTGCACAAGGCGCAGAATATTGGGTTCGCAACTATTCGCAAATATTGAGTAGAGCTGAGGGTTGTATATGGTGTGGAACAGGCGACAAGCCTGTGACATTGCGTTTAAATCTGATGCATATTCCAAATTTTCCGTTATGCAGAATAAGAGCTCCAAGGGTAAAGAAGTTAAAGACATTTCTGTGTACTATGTTGTAGTTGAGGTTGTAATTGCCCCTTCCATGGGGTTAAGCTAATTTCCTATTTTGGATACACGTGACTCCGTTTCACTGCCTGAGGCACCAATGACGCTAACCTCCGACTCACCGACCTGCCATCCTTATCTTCCCCCAGACGGCCCCAACATCAACAAGCGTTCTGAACAGTTTAGACTGTGCCTTGCTTTTTTTCTTTCAGTATGTACCAGATGGATGGATGACATAGTCTTCCTATTTTTTTTTACGTTTCTTCGCCTTCGAAATACCCTCATTACTCGTCGCGAGCCAAATTCAAATGATACAAGTTGGAGATCTACACTATCTGATGGTATGAGCGGTGATACTGCAAGCTTGGGGATATTTTCAAGAAACACATTGGCCTTTTGCGGGTAACTGGGTCGTCAGAATGAGCCCTGCCGCAGATACTAGTGAACCTCCGTCACAGCGGAAGATGGCCGAACATGGTGTCGAAAACGGTACCAATGGGAGCTTGAAGGTTGAAAAACAATCCGTGGTCCATTCGACTGAGGATAAACACAGTCGAATAGATACTCCTGTGGCACAGTCCAGCGGCGAGCGTGACGAACGCCCAACCAATGGAGACGATGGCGCAAATGGACAACGGGAACATGACCCAACAACCGAACGCCACCTTGCGAACGGAGGACACAAAATGGCGGGCTTGGAGCACGAGCAGGGACTCGGTATCCTAGTCGAGCATTCGCCGAACAACGGAGATAATCTTGGCCAGTTGTCAGTAGTGGATGTGTACGATGGACCCAAGGTCAAGGCTGCTTTAGCTGAGTTGTCTAATGATCTATCTCACCAACTATCAGAGGACAAAGACAAGGTCTTGAAGTTGTCTCCCGAGAAGATCCAAGCGCTCACATCCTCCCCGGAGTCAATACCTTACCGTCCCGTGGGATCAGAAACGAACGCTGGCAGGCGAGTAGCCTCAGACAACGTCCATGTGGATGATCCTCTCGCACGACGGGAGATACCGGAGTTTGTGCTTCAGTCCCTGAGCGAAAAGCCTTCGATCTTGGATGTTTTGCCAAAGTTGCGCCCCACTAAAGAAGTGTCACTGGGAGATGCTTCTGCGCCGGCGAGTCCTGCCTTGCCACGGAATACTCGAAATCCCTCCCTCCGCAATCGGCCGCACCCAGCACGAACAGTTTCCACCCCTGGCTCCACGCGACGTCAATTGCCCCTGGCCCCAGGCAATGACCGCCTAACCCAAACATGGGCATCGCGCTCGAAACAGGACCGACCCGCGCTGGACCGCGAGTTGAGGAGCCACCTTCTTGCATCACCTCAGATTATAGAATCGCCCATGCCCTCACCGTTGCCATCATCTATCCCTTTACCGCCAGTCTCTCTGCCAACCTATCTCCAGCTTGAGCTTGCTTCTGGTCGACCTTCACCACTGTACATCCATCGTGATGCGGCCAATGACTTCCCCTATGAATCATCGGCTGTTAAGATTGAGAGGCTGATGAACTTCATTATGCTTGCACCTATGCTTGAGCAGGTGCTTTGCTTTGGGAGTCTTGCCTGCCTTGATGCATGGCTTTACTCTTTCACGATAATGCCACTCCGGTTTATCAAAGCTGTCTATATATTGGGTGAGTCATGGGTGATGAATTTAGGAGCTGAGATCCGGTTCATTTGGAAATTTGTCCTGAGCGGGATTGGTCGAGTATGGCGCAGGAGGAATCATTATTCAAAGGAGGACGAGCGTGGAAGACGCGAAAGCGAATCTGATGCGACTCCTCACCTGCCTCAGGGCTCCTCTCTGGGGCCAGACATAGCACCAAGAAAAAAACATCGATCCTCCGAATCCCGCAAATACCACCATCGGCGGAAGAAGTCGATGCCGTCGGCGCTGCTTCCAGACGATAAAGCGGACATCCTGACAGGCCTACTGATGATAGCTACCTGCTGTGTTTTGATGTACTTCGATGCAAGCCGAATGTATCACTGGATTCGTGGACAGGCTGCTATCAAGCTATACGTTATCTACAATGTGTTGGAGGTCAGCGACAGACTGTTGGCTGCCATAGGTCAAGACGTCCTCGAGTGTCTCTTCTCACGCGAGGCTCTTGAGCGTCGTCCTGACGGCCGAAGCAAGATCATTCGTCCGTTCTGGTTGTTCCTGGTGGCACTGGTTTACACAGTATCACATGCGTTATCTCTGTTCTACCAGGTCATGACTCTGAATGTGGCAGTCAACTCATACTCCAACGCACTGATTACGCTGCTTTTATCAAACCAGTTTGTGGAGATTAAATCCACCGTTTTCCGCAAGTTCGAGAAAGAGAATCTCTTCCAGCTTACCTGTGCGGACGTCGTGGAACGGTTCCAGCTTTGGCTCATGCTTACCATCATCGCCTCGCGTAATATCGTGGAGACAGGCGCATTCAACTTTGTCGGCAACCTCGGGCTAGGATCTAGCTTCCCAGGCCAGTCCTCTACAATCACCAACAGCACGCCGCTATCCACGCCTCCACGCACTGCCTCATCCATCCTCCCTCAAGCATTCACCCTCTTCCCATCCTCAATCCTCTCATCTTTCAACAGTGTCAACTCCTTCATCCCAACCTTAGCCCAAGTCCTAGGCCCATTCCTAGTCGTACTGGGCTCAGAGATGCTAGTAGACTGGCTGAAGCACGCCTACATCAACAAATTCAACAACAACCGTCCAGCCATCTACGGCCGCTTCCTCGACGTGCTAGCCAAGGATTACTACACCAACGCCTTCGGCGAACAAAACCTAACCCGACGAATCGGCCTCCCAGTCATTCCTCTCTCATGTCTCTTCTTTCGTGTCTCGGTGCAAACATACCAAATGTTCCTAGCCGCCCTGATTCCCCAACACCCCTCCTCAACGGCAATGGGAGCAACATCCCTAACCTCAATCCACAACAGCTACGCCCCATCCCCGGTTCCCTCCGCACCACCCTTGACATTCGCAACCCTCCTCCCGGCCTCCGCTGCCCACGTCAGCGCGCTCTTCCGCACTCTCCTCGAAAATGCCATCCCTTCACCGGCCCAGTCTGTGCATATCTTCACGGGTATCCTGCTACTGACTGGATTCATCGTCCTGCTCATCCTGAAACTCCTGCTTGGCATGGCCCTGCTTGCGTTTGCACGCTCCCGATACAGGAAGATGAAGAGTCGGGAGAGCGAGCGTAAACAGTCCTCGAATAACCAGTCTGGTACTGAAACTGGGGCACCTCGTACTCGTGATTTCTATGTTGAGGGTAGTCAGCGTGCTGGTGGGTGGGGTGTTGTTGAGGTTGGCGATGAGAAGAGGAAGTTGATATATGCGGATGATCCGGATGGATTGAGGCGGTTGAAGGAGAAGGAGGAGAAGGATAAGAGTAAGGATGGGGAGTTCAATGTTGATCATGTACAGCGGTATGAGATGATTGCCAAGAAGATTTGGTGATTGGGTGCTTGTTTGTTGTTGATGGTGGAAGGTGTCTATAGGTTGAGTGTAACCTATAGAATACATAGCTGTATAGTACTAGTACTCATCCATATCTTTTATTCGCATTGTTTGGGCCATGGAATCGTAATAAAAGGGGATATCAAGATTACTTTCAAGCTACTTGGTATCTATACATTCGCTGTAGGCAATGGGGGAATAAAAAATGATCGATTCGTGTCATCGGGGATAAGAATTTGAGGAAGGATATCAAAGTAGGGCGAGCAGGGGTATGTACAAGATCTCCAGGGGTTCGTTGGTCGTGATCAGTATTAGCGAGTGGACCGGTCATCAACCACAGGAGAGCCAGCTCCTGGTTTTCATCATAATAAGGTCTCATGGCCTTCAAATGAAAGCTGCGGGGGTGAGCCTTATTAATACTGGTGAGTATTTGCGCGATTGAATGTGTGCCCTGGTGGAGCGCGATGCATGACCGAGGGGGAAGCGGTGTTTGCTCGCGTATAGCTGGACGGATCGGGAGGCCCTTGGGATCGAGGCTGGGGTGTGTTATGGGCCATTGATGGGTTGAAAGCTGCATAGCCACCATTTTGAGGGGCAGGAGTTGCTGAGTTCGCTGGAGTGTACGTCCTTGGTGGAGGCTGTCCATATGCGGCTGCTTGTGGGGGAGTTGTGGGTTGGTAGCTTGCAGGGGCGTTGGTCCGATATGGAGCAGGAGTCTCGCCAGTACCTGCCGGGTTGTTGTATTGATAGGGAGCAGGAGTGCCACCGGTGTTTGCCGGAGTGTAGGTCCGATAGGGAGCAGGCGTCCCATCAGTGCTCGCCGGATTGTTGTATTGATAGGGAGCAGGAGTGCCACCAGTGCTTGCCGGAGTGTAGTTTCGATAAGGAGCAGGCGTCCCATCAGTGCTCGCCGGATTGTTGTATTGATAGGGAGCAGGAGTGCCACCAGTGCTTGCCGGAGTGTAGTTTCGATAAGGAGCAGGCGTCCCATCAGTGCTCGCCGGATTGTTGTATTGATAGGGAGCAGGAGTGCCACCGGTGTTTGCTGGGGTGTTGGTCCGATAAGGAGCAGGCGTCCCACCAGTGCTAGCCGGCGTGTAGGATCTTGTTGAATATGGATCCTGTGGGTAGTAATCTTGCTGCGCGCGAGGCGCCCCTCTCCGGCCATCCGGAGTTTCGTATCCTGCTCCGTATTCGTCCTCTCCGCCGTATGTACCCCTCGGAGGACCGTAGGGGTCGTAGTGCGCAGGCGCGTGGTCACGGTTGAAATCATCGTAATCATCGGAAGCATGCATGTCAGCCGAAGAATAATCAGGTGCTGGGGTGTGGCTCTGATATGGCTGAGAATCAGAGTTATCAGTCAGGTTGCGATATCCAGGGCCCGGAGTATTACGATCACCATTGCCATATGGTGCAGGAGCCGCTCGAGAGTGAGGGGTGGCCATCCGTGATGGAACGGTAGCCGGTAGGGGAGGGACCGGGGGAAGTGTCGGAAGCGTCGGATTCTGGCCATCAAGAGGAGTATATCCCATTCCAGCTGCATTGCCTGTCAGTGAAGCGGACTCGGACATTGCTGAAGACGAAGTTCCGGTTCGAGCCAGTTTTGGTTTGGCATCGAAATCTAGATTCGGTAGTGTCGGGTTTTGCGCCGGCGCTGTCGAGGTCGATTGCGAGTAAGGCGGCAGAGTAGTCTGTGTGGTACTTCGCGACAACGAAGGCACTGCGGGGACCTTATCTCCGGCGAGAGACGGCAGAGTCGGGTTCGAATCTGTGTCCAGCATTGGCTTAGTGGGTGCTCGGTTCTGCAATTTGAGCCCCTTTGCCAGTGCCTTGTTGTTCTTGCGGTGCACGATGCGCTTCAGACGTTGACCAACCTTTCGGAGGCAGTACCTTGAAAGAGTACCGTCTTCCGCTGGGATGTGGTGGAAGAGAAAGATTAAATAAAGTGCGATCGCCGAGATCAACCTGAGAACCGATAGGACCCAAACGATCAGGGTGAAAAGCATACCAAACAAGACCACAGCTTGAAGGGTGTTTTCCTCGGCCAAAATCTTCACGTTGTTGAAAAATTGAGCAACTGAGGAACTTCCATCGTCGTGGGCTGCATTCGCTCCTCCGGGAATGAGGTCCATTTGCATGACTGAATAGAGAGTGATGGCATTGATAACTTGGCGCGGGCCATCTGCGAAGATCGTGATCATCCACGCTAGAAACTTTGTTAACAATTTCTAAGATCATTGAGGGTATAGTAAGATACTTACACTGGAAAGAGAAATATGCATAAAGAGCAACATATTCTGCTGCTTTCCTGTCTTTGGTTAATTCAGCAAAGACAAGGAATCGCCTGTATCCACGACCCCGCTGGCCGAAGCGAATACTCTGAATGCGCACAGCCAGCGGGTCCAGAAAACTGCGAGTAATACTACCCGAGCGAATGGCACCGATAGCATGTATCCATCGGTAGACCAAAATAACGAATGAGGCAATAATACAGGCGGCGAAGATCCAGCGGGAGATGTTGAAGGGAATAGCGGGTTCGACTCGGCCAGACCATCGAGAGAAAGCCAGCAAGTTGATTGCAGTGAATGTATCAACGCCATAGACTGCAATTGAGATAAACAAGAACACCCATAAGAAGAAATATGAGAAGGGTGTCAAGCAAGACTCGGATTTAAAGTCGTCCAAGTTCTGGGTGAATAATTATCAGTATGCCAGCCACCCATACATCAATATCACCGTGTAGACCTACCACGTAGTCCCATTTCTCCTCCATCGCTACATCCCCCTTCTCACGGTCTCCACCACAGAGCATTGTGTCAATTGACCTGGTCCCGCCAGGAGGTGATCACAGAGGATTGGAAAGAATGGCGCGATCGCTAACGATCAAAGGTCAACTTCCTCGGTCCAGCCGGGCAAAGTCGTGATTGAGAATAGAAACAGGTATAACAAATAGAGAGAGGCAAAGGTCAGTCGCAATGAGGGAGATGATGGTATATTAACCGCGCGAATGGCGCATACCTGCGGAAGGCAAGGGGGGAGGTTGATCGCGGTGTCAGGTATCGAGGGCTGCAAGCCACGTGTATATGATCACAATGAAACGTTGGTATTTCAGTTGCGCATTGGGGTATTCAAAGCGACAATAGACGGACTTTCATTGAAGACCGCCGATCTCTCGCCAAGAAAGGGGGCACGACGTGGAGAAAGAATGCGCAATCATCAGTGGAAATAGGTGGTGATAGAGTTGAATGAGTGTGGCAACCTCAACCTCGAGCTTGGAGGCTGAAAAAAAAAATGAGTGACACAATGGAGGTTGAGAAAGGGGAAGTGAAACACATTTGAGGGGAGAAGGGGAGGAGTTCGGTAGAGGTGGAGATGCGGGAAGTTACAGGCACGAGCGGGTTTTCTGTTTAGGGCTGACAGGGTCTGTCTTCTTTTCATATATGTTCATCTCTTTTTGTTCTTTTGTTCTTTTTTATGTTCTAAATTGGGAATATCCTAGGCTACCTTCATCAATAGCCCTGAAACTATTGACACCTATTCTTAGAGCAACAATTCTTCGGAGAGAACACTGGCCCACTAAAACCCTGAGACAGATAAGGAAGATGGGTCCTCTGACACTATCCATTCTGAATGCTCACTGGCCATCAGCACACGCCAGGGGAGGGTCCGGTCCATGTACCTAAGCACTGATTCACTCCGGGCGCTACACAATTTGATGATACAATTCCAAACGTGGCCTTACGACACTATATTGTTTAATTATTTTATGTGGGATATCCAACTAGTTACTGTCTCAGAAAGTAAATAAACATGTTGATACCTCAGGTGTCACTGCCCATTTTAGACATCACATGACTATCTGTAACCTTGGAAAGAGCTTGTTCGTTCCACGGTTCAGACGTTAACGCCAAGACCGGGGACCCCCATCACGCCTCGATAAGCACTGATGGCGCCTCCCCCGTACATTAAGTGTGTAATATCCCCATTCTTAGTACTCCGTACCCAAGTACAACATTACCGAGATAAAACATTCAATGTTGGAGCTGTCTAATGACCTTATTTTACCTGTTCGGCAGCAATCCCAATATCGAAAGGCAACCCCCAAAGCTGTTCCAGCGCGTTTCGCGTTATATTTCATCAACATTCATCTCGCGCCGAGTGACATATTTTCACCAGTTTATCGAACGTACTGTTGTTCAACTTCTCCACATTATAGGCGATGGGTAAACTGTTGTCGATGGCCATTCGGTCGTTGCGCCCACATGAATTATTTCCCCGAACTCATTCTCCTATCCCTCGTAAGGTGCGCATACCAATGCTTCATCACAACCAACCCCGCCGCACGTTCACTCTCACCGCATTCAACTCAACGAATACCGATGATGATGATGATGATGATGATGCCCGTTTCCTATATGAGCCTCTTGAGGGAGTCGAAAGATTCGAGAACTATCGACCAGGGGGGTATCACCCCATACAAATCGGAGATCACTTTCACAGTCGATATGGAGTTGCTGATAAGTTGGGACATGGGTCTTATTCAACTACATGGCTGGCCCGTGATGAACAATCCAATAAATATGTTGCAATGAAAGTTTGTACAGCAAACTCAAACCCAAAGGAAGTGGACATTATATCCACTCTCAGTCTTCCTCGTTCTTCTCTAGTCAACGATCTAGGAAAGACGATGATCTCTTCGATTCTAGATAGGTTTACCATTCACGGCCCCAATGGCAGTCATGCTTGCTATGTTACAGCGGCGGCGAGGGTTAGTCTCTCCGGTGCAAAAGATGGTTCGTGGTATCGATTATTCCAGCTTGACGTTGCCCGGTCATTAGCCGCCCAACTTGTCCTTGTTGTGGATTATGTGCATGCCCAAGGAATTGTCCATGGGGACGTTCACCTAGGCAACATTCTTCTGAAAGCTCCGCCTAATTTTGACCAGCTCTCATTCGAACAATTACATGAGAAATATGGAACACCAGAACTACAGTCTGTCGTTCGTCTAGATGGCAATCTAAATGGCAATTCGCTTCCTCCTGGTGTCCCATCCCACGGTGTTACACCCATGTGGCTAGGGGAAGCGAGTGAGAAAATCACACTTGCAGAAGCCAGGATTTTGCTTATAGACTTTGGCGAAGCCTTTTCACCCTCAAATGAACTGAAATACGAATCTCGAACCCCCCTTGTCATCCGACCCCCCGAGGCTCGATTTGAACCAAATAAACCCCTATCTTGCTCATCAGATATCTGGACTCTTGCCTGTACCATATGGTCTATCATCGCTCAACGGCCATTGTTTGAAGGATTTTTCGCGACTGAGAACGATATGACCTGTGAGCATGTCGATACTCTTGGTGTTTTGCCACCTGAATGGTGGAGCAAGTGGGATGCGCGATATGATAAATCTACTGAGGATGGTACGCCAATAAATCGGGAATATTTCCGATCTTGGGACGATCGGTTTGAGGATAGTGTGGAACAGCCCAGGCGTAAAAAGGGAATCCCGTCGTTTGATAAAAAGGAGAGGGACGCTATCTCCGACATGCTACGGCAGATGCTCTCATTCAGACCCGAGGATCGTCCCACTACCAAGCAAATTCTGGAGTCAGAATGGATGGTGGAATGGGCTCTGCCTGAATATAGCAAGATTCAAAATAATGTATGAGGTATTCTAGGGTGGGACTATATATATCATTTTCATCCGCTCCAGACGGATCCTTAGAGGTCTAGGCTGGATAAACGTCCAGCTATTTTTTTTTTCTAAATGAATCTCTACTTAATTATATCCTTATGTTTCAATCAAAAACGGCCGAACAACGCTTTTCTTCTCACTCTAAAGTTAAAATACCTGGGCGGTGTCATTCCTCCGGCTTAAGTCCGTCGTCCGTCCGAGACGGCCCATAGATGCACCGAACACGGAACATAGCGCAATACGAGAAATATCCATGCAATATAAATACATGGAATTGAACCCTCAATTGATTTCCATAATCGACGACAGACACTTCGATGCCCAACAATATTCAAGTCCTTTCACTACCATAAACATCCAAAATGGTGTCTCTACCAGACGTCCAGTCCTCAAATGCCCAAATCGCCAGCACACTGCCAGCGGGTCTTGTGGCCGTCTTCGTAGGCGCAACAAATGGCATCGGCGAAGCAGCCTTGAAAGAGTTCGCACGCTCAACCCGATCACCTCGCGCGTACTTCGTCGGCCGCTCGCAAGAAGCCGCAGCGCGCATCACAGCCGAATGCCGACAGCTGAACCCAGAGGGAGAATTTGAATTCATCAAAGCAGATGTCAGTTTGATCAAAAACGTCGACGCGGTCTGTCGTGAAATTCAAAGTAAAGAAAAGACCATCAACATCCTCTTCCTTAGCTGTGGAACTATTCGGTCCGGAGAAGGTAGGAAATTCCGACATCACCCACAAAAAATATAGTAATTTTACTCATAAGATACCAATAGATACATCCGAAGGTCTCCATATCATGTCTGCAACTGGATACTACGCCCGAACAAGATTCATCATCAACCTCCTCCCAAACCTCAAACAAGCGACGAGTCTACGACGCGTCGTCAGCGTTCTAGCTGGCGGCCATGACGGTCCCATTGATGTATCGGATTTTCAAGGAAAGAAGATGTCCATGCTGAAGATACGTGGGCATCTTGTATCCATGACCGATTTGGCTCTAGAAACACTAGCCAAGCAAGCGCCAGAAGTGACCTTTATTAACGACTACCCCGGCGCAGTCAAGACGGGGATCGGGCGCGAGTCGAATACTTTTCTAGCCTGGATTATGAATATCGTACTCATGATTATCGGGCCCTTGGTGTATATTCCGATTAGGGAATCCGGGGAGAGACATCTTTTCTTCGCGACGAGTGCTAAGTATCCTCCCCGTGCCCTTTTGAATGCGACGGCGGAGGCTTCCTCTGGTGTGCCTTTGTCCGAGGGGGTTGAGGTTGCTAGTGGGACAGATGGGAAGGTTGGGAGTGGGGTTTACAGTATTCATTGGAGTGGAGAGCATGCTGGTCCTAAGGTTGTGAAGTTGCTGGCTGGACTTCGCGAGCAGGGGATGGCGCAGAAGGTTTGGCAGCATACGGTTGGTGAGTTTGATAGAATTACAGGGCCAGCGGATGTCTGAGTCAGGGGGTACGTTTTGGTGATGTTGTCGAGTTCCAGTTGGGAGCGTGTGCAACGTTGATATATGTATTCGTATTCGTCGTCCTACAATATTGCGGGTATGTCAGTCGTAGCTTCGAGTAAATAATATCTTTCTTCCCATTTGCACTGTTGTGAGTAAAGTTAGCTTACATACCGATCATTGATTTTCTTATTTCGCGTTTCAGTAGCATAGATAGAATCATATCCAAGCTGAATGGGCTAATATGGTGTGTGATCAATATTACTATTACTTTACTCTGTGATTCATTCCAAGTTCCTGTTTTGAATACACTAATATATTCCTCCAGGGCTATTTCCTTGGGTTGTCAATTCCTAGAGTACATCCAATGATCCACCTATTATCTATGCATTGTAAACCACAATATCCCAAGACGCCCACCGTCATCAACATTACGTGGAATCGCCCCACAACGCAGGCCGTGTACTGCAAGCTATTGGATAGCTGGAAGATTATTTGTCCATGTCGTGATATACACCCCTTCTGGCATAGATCGAAGGCTGGCGAGAGTCAATGCCATGATCATAAGTCGAGACACAATATAGATCAAGTTGGTGGCATATAGGATGGCCGAAAGTTCACCCATCTTGGGATCAGGGTTCGACGAGGAAACACATTTGTCTTTGCGCTATCAATCAAACTTTTTGGCCCTTCTTCATCCATCAATTCGACCAGCAAGCCGAATTGAGATTCAAATTTATCCCGCAGCTGGATTGAATTGCGTTTCTCAAAAGGGGTTTCTTTTTTAACGAACTTGAGCATCTCTGGCCCAAGTGGAGAGTTTTTGTCGTCGGAAAGAATAACTTTATATAAACACTGTACGTTGTCGTCTTCCGAGCTTGGATTGTTGTAAATATTTTCCAAGGTAATCATTGCCTTCGAGGTGGCATCGGTATCATGATAAAACCATGAAAATTCCCTTAGAACACTCAGGCAATTGCGCATGAATTCCTGCGGGTCACCATCCTGAGCAGTAAATTGTGCTAGTAGAATGGTGATCAAACCAAGTCCAGGGACTACAATCGACATGACGGTTGCGACTCTCCAAAGGAGCTTCTCTATGTCAGAGGGAAACTCGAAATTCCACGCAATTATATGAATACAGCCAAATGCGGCAGATAGCACAGCCAACGCAATGATTGTTGAATGCCATTTATCTGATTTGGCCAGAGGAATGTTGTCATTCTTGATGCGGTGGACCTGCTGAGAGCCGTTCTTTTTTCTTGAGTTCGAAAGAACATCCCAAAAACTGTCATATGTTCTAGAAAATCGGGGCACTTTGGAGCCTTCTCGTTTCGTCAGCTTTATTGGGACACCAATGCCCTGAGGTTTGTGCCAGTAGGTGATATACACGGCAATACCACAGACCGCGAGACCCAAGGTGAGCGTTTCAAATTGAGAGAAGGGCAAGCCCCGGATCTTTCGAGTGATAAGGGAGAAAATCAACCAGCATATTTGGACTATAGCAATTGCCTTGGCGAAGTAATCCTGTTTGCCCTTGTCTTTGATGTCATCTTCGTGAATCTCCGGGCTAGCATAAAGATCAGGATGCTTGGCATATTGAAACGCAGTGAGAGGAAGTTGGATGCATTTCTGATCCGCAGTCTCGTCTATATGCTTGAAGGAAAGTCCTCCCATGTTGGCAAAATATGAATGCGTGACGGTCCACTCTGGTCCTTTATAATCCTTGCAATGTTCGGAGTCGTTCTTTTGCGCATGACCTCGAAGAAAAAGCCTCCTGATCAGCCATGGATATGTCACTGCCATCTTGCTGTTTTCTTCGATCAATTTTGTGGCATCGATTGCCATCAAAAGCTCAAAGAAGGCATGTGCCATGATAAACTCGGGAAACAAAATCGTGATAATCATCCACTGGCAACTTCGTAGAAGCTTTTTCCCGGTGCCATCATGTGGGGCTGGTACATTCAAATGCTGGATACTCCAGGTGCATGCGAAAATTGTTGTTCCACAACTGAGGATGATATCCCAGGTGCCTCGACGATTGGGGCTGCCCTGCCACCCAAGATGGTCGGTGGCCGATGACTCATTTGCGACCACAGGAAGCGCCGGCGTGAAAATGCCGAATATCAATAATTTGGCTGCCATGAAATCTTTGTTCTGACTTTTGGAGAGTAGCAAGCCTCTGACTTTTTGAAACGCCAAAGCTTTATAAACCGGGCTTGCTGTGCTGCTCGTGTACGGAACAATACGTCCCATGAACTGCTGCTTAGAATGGAGCGAGGAGATAACAAGAAAAGCACAGAAAATTTCAAACGAAATAAAATGAATGGAGGCCAAAGATACGAAAACCCAGAGGTGAGATTGTGAACAACACCTTGGTCACGAGGTTCAGCCGCAATGAAATGGCTCTCAAAAGCCAATGCCCCAAAATAAACAGCAAAGCAATATACAACGTAAGAACATGATTGGTTAACTATATATACACTTCATTTATCTCGATTCATGATTACCCCAGTTAGATTCTAAGTGTCGTGGCAAAGCAGGGGGCCCGGGGCCAGCGCTTAACCCAGTTTCATGGGAATCTCATTCCCTTCGCATTTTATTAATATCTCGCTCATTTCTTTTTCCTTGGTGATAATTGCTTAGTATAACTTTTGACAGAGATAAAGACCTGTACTCCTACACGATTTCTCCCGTGATTCAGTCAAATCAGACCTACTTCCCAACGAAGAATCCTCTCCCTTTTGCTTTTTACCAGACTCTCCGAATCAAACACCAGGCCATCATGACAGACCTGGCATTGAACGCCGAGGGCGAAACTTTCGCTCTGCATGTGGCCGCTGGGGCAGGAGACGCAAAGAAAGTTCTGCAGATCCTCCAAATCCATCCCAGCTGTGGAAATTTAATGGATTGGCTAGGAAGAACTGCAATCCATTATGCAGTGGAAAATAAGAGAATGTCTGCTGCTGATTTGGAAGGGATTGTTAAGCAATTGGGTCTTGATGTGATTAATAGCGGCGATAATTTCGGTCGAACACCATTACACTGGGCCGCAGATAAAGGCTACAAAGACACTATGCAATTGTTACTCGACCATGGTGCTGATGTTGATGCTCAAGATTTCTCGAAGCAAACGCCTTTGTCTCGATCGGCATGGCGAGGATGGCAGGAATGTGTGTCACTACTGCTACACCGGGGAGCCAGGTCTGATATTCCAGATCAGAATGGACAGGTCCCTCTACACCTAGCAGTGGTCAATGGGAGCACTGCAGTAGTCCGCCATCTATGCAACAAACAGAGTCTTACCTCGATCGATTTGGATGGCCAAACAGGTCTTCACCTAGCGGCAAAGTTAAGCCATACAGGTGCGGCAAAGGTTATCACGAAGAGTTTGATTAAGACCAATGCGAATGGGAATCATATTTTCCGCACCTTGGAGCAAGCCGATGGATGGCAAAATGACTTTACCGATGCCACTCGCGCCATTGACGCGTTGGTGTGGGCAGCCCTCAACGGAATTGAGAGCATGACCATTCGCCTCATTAGGCGTGGTGTGGATGTTGGATCATATTCCGACAGTTGTCGTATGTCTACGATGCAAGCAGCAGCAAGCGCCGGTCGTACCGCAATAGTAGAACTACTTCTCAACAACAAAGCCGATGTCAACGCTCAACCTGCTAAATCTAAAGGCTATACAGCTCTTCAAAGCGCAGCAGTCGCCGGTCATACAGAGATAGTAAAACTACTTCTTAACAACAAAGCCGAAGTCAACGATCAACCTGCTGGATTTAATGGCTATACAGCTCTTCAAGGCGCAGCAGGCGCCGGTCATACAGAGATAGTAAAACTACTTCTCAATAACCAAGCCGAAGTCAACGCTCAAACTAGCATCAGTGGCTATACAGCTCTTCAAGGCGCAGCAGGCGCCGGTCATACAGAGATAGTAGAACTACTTCTCAACAACAAAGCCGATATCAACCCTCAGCCTGGTCAAAAGGAAGGCTATGAAGCTCTCTGGCGCGCAGAAAAATCCGGTCACAGTGACATTGTGGAACTACTTACTAAAGCCAAGGCACAAATCTCCCAGTTATAGTAGTTAGAGCGCATCTTCAAATACTGGACCCAACTACCTATAATGCATACGATATCGATGCTACCAGTCCTAAACTTCCGTTCCTTATTACTCTTCTAGATACAATGAGCAGGGAGAAGTCAAAGAAAGCGAAACCTTATGGCACCCAGTCCACACTCATTCTCGAAGGTGGCTTGACAAACACAGACTAGATATGTAATTCTTTCCTGCACCCACTACCTCTAGCATTTTGGTAAATAGTGAAGAGGGGAACGCTCAAGGCTGTATGCTCTGAGGCATACGGGTCGATTCAGCACTCGCAGTTCAGTTTCATACTCGACTCTGCCTACAAGGGAACCAGGACATGCAGTCCAAGAGGTCAATTCAGAGAGGGGTAGAGGTGTGTTTTATTCAATATGTCCCTTCCTACTACTTGTATCCCCCGGTTCCCCAAGATTACATAATAAAATCGCTTCGTAAAGACAGGACAGGTAAGGTCAATACGTAGTGGGAGGCATGGTCCCCCACTACAATAGGTACCTGGTAATTTGTAGCTTGAACAAAACACAATGGGCTTTTTCGTTTCTGGGCAGCATCTATATGCTCCGTTTTTATTGGAGGTCTAGGTCCGGTTTAATGAGAAATGTAAGGGATGGTTCTTTTTTGGGAACGTGGTTCGAATTGTTTCTTAAGCTCAGTCTTAATGACCCAGAGGTAGGTGAAAAAATCACCCGGTTCCTATGAAGGTCTGTGACGGACATGTGTTTACCTTTCCCTCAAATTGATTCCGTCGATTCCGTCGATTCCGTCGAAAAGGTTCAATAATGTTAACGTCAAATCCTCAAAAGCTTTCCACGTCTTTAGCCTTTAGATGCCATCTCTTGTAAAACGCATCATAAAGACAATTTTTCGCAACAATGCTTTTCATTTCATCAGTTATGCCTGCGTATTGAGGAAGGCTGAACTTGGCGGAAAGTTGGACGAGGCAAGTCCATCATCGCACGATGTTGAAATCAGGGGTAAAATTTTCAAACGACGCTTCCTTGGCATGGCTATCGCTGTCTGACGAGGGAGGAACATCGGGACAATCTAATGACGTAATCATAACACCTGCCTCGATCCCTCCATACCTAGGTAGGTATCTAACTTTAGAATGCAAGCTGACACTCGAATAATGTAAATTTATATGCTCGACACAATTTCCCAGGGTTATTATATGCTAATGTACTCCGTATAAGTCGACATGTCATGGAAGATGGGACCTGTTCGCGGATCCAGTGTTGCTCAATCCGGTATTGATTGCGAGGGGCTAAGTTGGAATCCCTTACTCCGTACTAAAAGATCAAGAAAAACAATGTTTGACTCCACTGAAATTCTCCTTTTAGTCTAGATCAAGGGAATAGTACAAAGGTTGTTGTTGCTAAAATTTAATATGTTTGCAACCTCCGCACTTGTCATATGTCACTCCCAGGCAACCATCTAAAAGAGATTCATCCTGTATCATCCCTTGCGGATTTTTTTTCGAATCAAACTCATCTCACCTCTGCAAATATCATCCACATTCTTTCCAGTGTGCATTGCTATCTCTAAAATTGAACGAGTTACTCCGTATACGATACAGAGGTCTCACTTGAACCAACGAGAGCCAAACACTTTGTCATCTCTTCTACACCCACACTAGGCTCTCCACTAGTGTTACTGGAAACCTAATTGAAACTGAGAGAATATTTGATACGCAGAAAGGTCCTCACCTACCTTCTTTGCTCCATGTGAGATTTGAGCCATCAAATCACAAAATCTATATCCCGCGGATCCTCCGGAAAATCCTAGCAATGGGACACATCAGCGACAGCTCCACCATTCTATATTTTGGTCTCGCCGCCGGAATATACCTCAAGCCGGAATATGCTATTTTCGATTCCAGGATTGTGACGGGCGCTGTTATTTTTGGGATCATTACTGTGTCGAGGATTGTTTATTGTCTTGTGTTGTATCCCGATTATTTCACTCCATTGAAACACATATATTCACCTGCGGTAGGCCAGCTATCATTCCTATATATTCAATAACTGTGCCTAACAGTATCTAGAATCGAAGCTGGCTTAGGGGTAATTCTCCGAGTTTCCTGCTCGAGACTCCCTATCCACAGCTACGGGAGTTGGCCCTGAACAAGCCCAATCAAGATATCATCCGGTACTATATGGTCGCAAACCTCGAAAGGCTGGTTGTGACAGGCCCGAAAGCCCTGGGTGAGCTTCTTGTTACGAAAGTTTACGACTTTGAAAAACCCGAATTGGTTCGGCAGAGCTTGCGGCGTATCACCGGAGATGGAATCCTACTTGCTGAAGGTGAAGAGCACAAGGTAAATTTGGCCCTTCAATTACCACTCAACATAGATTCAAACTTACAATATCTCCACTAGATACAACGCAAGAATCTCCTGCCAGCCTTCGCCTATCGTCACATCAAGAACCTCTACCCAGTCTTTTGGGACAAGAGTACAGAAATGGTCAAGATGATTGAAAAAGACCTAGAGAGCAGAAAGGCCAATGGCGATAACGACAACACAGTCCAAATCAGTAACTGGGCCACTCGAGCAACCTTGGACATCATCGGTGTCGCCGGCATGGACCATGACTTCGACTCTCTCCGTGATCCCGATAACACCCTCAACCAAGCATACCGCAAAGTCACGTCTCCGCCGCCCCCCATGATGAAATTCCTTTTCGTGGTAAGCATGCTATTCGGTAATCCAACATGGATCCACTCGTTGCCGACAAAACGCAACAAAGATATCAAGCAAAGTGGCGAGCTCATCCGTAACGTTGCACGGCAAATGATCCGACAGAAGAAGGCAAAGATGGAGGACCCAAAAGCCGAAACTGGCATTGACATTATTTCCGTTGCACTAAGCAGCGGCACTTTTGACGAAGAAAACCTCGTCGACCAATCCATGACTTTCCTAGGCGCAGGCCACGAGACAACTGCCTCAGCATTACAGTGGGCAGTTTACGCACTCTGCAAGAATCCCAACGTCCAAACTCGCCTGCGGGATGAAATCCGCGGCAATCTTCCCTCTCTTGACGATCCGAATCCAATTTCTGCAGCCGCAGTCGATAGCCTGCCCTACCTGAATGCAGTGTGCAACGAGGTCCTCCGCTTCCATCCCTCTGTGCCGGTAACCATACGCAGGGCAGCTCGTGACACGACTCTTGCAGGCATGCACATTCCCAAAGATACGCTGCTCACACTCTCTCCACAGGTCACCAACCGGTTGGAAGAGCTGTGGGGACCAGACGCGAACGAGTTCAACCCGGAACGCTTTATGGGTCCTGGTAAGGCTAATACCGGCGGTGCGGTCAATAATTATGCCTTTTTGACTTTCTTGCATGGTCCACGTGCGTGCATTGGGCAGGGTTTTGCGAAGGCGGAGCTTGCTTGCTTGCTTGCCGCTACTGTCGGTCGGTTTCACATAGAGTTGAAGTTCCCTGATGCTAAGTTGGAGATTCGGGAGGGGGCTACTGTATCACCTAAAGATGGAGTGCTTGCCTTGCTTACGCCACTGGAGGGGTGGTAGATGTGAATCAAATCTGTGTGTTGGTTGAAGGTGGTCCTTGCAGTATATATTGCTTGTCTTTTGGGTGGTTGTCTTAACGTCATTCAAAGCGATCTATCAAATGCTGTAGTGAATACTAGCCTCGAGAGTTCATTTATATGTAATCTGTATTAGAAATACTATGAATTCCTCGACCCCTGCATATGTACCGAATAATGTCTGGCACTCAAGATCTTTCTCTTTACGCTTCAGCCCTCACCTGGGCGCCCCCTGCCACTTTTTGATCACTGAGTAGAATCCAGCACGCCTGTGAACACATAATCCAAAGGCTTGCCTACTGGATATAGCCTAATCATCGTCTGGGGTACAGCCCCTACGGCAAGTTTTAGAGTCCATCGCGTCAACCACTAGCAGCTGAGCACTGGCTATTATGGCTGTAAGCTTTCGCCTATAGCCTTCCCAATGTCATATCGAGATGGAATAAAACAATAAGTAATATCAGAGATATATCCTATATTTGAGTATGTGGCTTAATAGCACTTAGTTCCCTCGTACACGAGTAAACCTCCCTCTTTCAAACTCTTTTTTAATTGTCTATTGAATAGTCTTTTGAGTAGTCTTTTTAACGCTCTTTTTGAATGATCTTTGACGCCCTATCCTAAATGAGCTAATTGAATATGAGCAATGCAGCAAAAAGGGCAGTGACCAATGTATATGCGGGTCGACGTGATGGACTCTAAAACCTACCGTACTTCCCCACCTCTCTTTCCCCCAAGAAATATTTCCTGAATTCCACTCATCTGTTATCCCAAATACTGTCCACTGGAATTTCAGCCTGTTTCATTTCAAGTATCCGGTATCGACTCAGACAAGCACTAAAGGTTGCAATTTCGAAGTGATCAAAACACGATGAATCCTTCTGCCCCCACTGGCCCCACGCCAAGGCCAACCCACGCTTTTGCAGGGGTCCTCACCCGAACCCAGCGGGCCAGACTGGTCCCGCAGTTTCAATATGATCTCCGCCAAGCCCATGATGAATCGTCAACCGTACGATTTTACGATCGGGTATCCGTGGTAGCATTCCACCGGGCGAATGAAAAATCTCAATGTGGTCCCTTTGAAGAGAGAACTTCTCCAGGTTTTCCGAGACCAGTACGGATTTCAAACCTCATCGTTCGAGATTCCGGTCATCCAGAATCCAAATTCCCATTCAGCCCTCATTTAGCACTTGCTGGATCATGCGGATAATTTCGCCGCCGACAACACACTGCGAATCTATGTGCATTCTGGACACTCATGTGATCCTGGAAAGAGACATGGTATCTCACGCAAGTAGTCACACCGAAGTCTACGTTTGACCATTCGGTCATTTACCTTATGAGTCATATACTCATATCGATACTCAGTGGAACCCGTATTATCCCGGGTCCCCTGCTAGACTAGTGGGCTGTACGGCTGAACCTCGACCTATACCCTGGTTCCGTATGCTACATATTTGACACTTGTTTTGTGGTGTCTAGTGTGTTCGGTCATGCCTAGGGTCAGAGTTTGTGGATGCGCTGGATAGGATGCTCATACCGCAGCCAACCATGACTTGTCATTCAATCGAGCCTTTATCGATACTTTGAACGAAATGAGCGGTCAAAACAGTACACTTGCCACAGGACGCTTGTATGGAGCCCTCGACGAAGAAATATATCGGCTTCTCCTGTCTATGTCTGCAAACCCAACACAGAAGGTGTAAATATAGGGAATCAGATCCGTCATGCCACGCGCCCATCACAAGCTGCGGTAACGAACGAGCTGAGGATCCTCCTAAGTGTGAACATTGATGGCATCAACGATCTGCGCGCCCTGGATATCGATTTCTGGAAAAACTGGTCTTCGCAGGCCTTCGCCTGCATGAAGCCAGGCTCCATCAAAGTTGAGGGATTATACACCGGTTCTCTCATTGCTTCTATTCTCCATCCCAGTTGAAATGTGATTGAAGCTACCTAATGACGGGGCGTACACTTACGTGGCACATGTCACGTCAACGAATTTGTTAGCCGAACAACCCCGAATTAACCTCCCAATCCGCCCTCCACGGGAAATCTGAATAGCAGCTCCGCTAGTGGCGTCGGTTGCTAATGTCTTTCGAGCTGTCTCTGTCGCTTTCGCTCTGTCACTGTTGAGTCAAGTGTTGTTGCTAGTGTCTTTCATCTATAGCATTTCTCCCTTGACCCGCTTCAAGCGATACCAACACTGTAGCATATAGGTAAATGAATTTGCTCGTTTCAAAGTGATGCGTTTCTTTTCCTAGCTATTTCGTCTTTGGATCTCTATGTGCCTTTTTGATTGGCGAGAGCCTAGGTTCCGCTTTGAAGAAATTCTTTCCCTGAGCTGAATATAGAGATGGAGGGGGGGGAGGGGGGCTTTTTTCTTCTCGCCGGTCATTGCGTGGGCGTATTGTATCCCCTGGGTGGCTGTGTCTCAGTCGGGTGAAATGTTGACCGGAGGCGCCCACCAGTGGGGCGCACTACCCCTAAAGGTGGATGTGATAAGAGAATGGTGTTTCGGCCCGGTCAATGCTTCGCATTTTATGCTAGCCAACTACATCTCCACTAACTCGCGGAACGGCGGGTCCGCTAATTTGACACTACTCTCAAGGGATTTCAACTAAATCCAGCTGGCTCAGGGACGAGGGCTAAAGTGCCATAAGGCACCCATCCCCCACTTTCCTCATCTCACCATCTCACCCCCCTTGATCTTATTTCAGTTAACAAGAGCTATTCTTCACCCTCCCAAGATGGACGATGATCCTCCTTCTCCCGTTGACGATGACTCTCCTTCTCCTACGGATGATGGCGACAGGCTCACCAACCAGCCCACCATCATCGCCTTTGACAACAGCGGCGACGGCCCGCTCCGCGTCCCCGGGTTCGGCGCTATCCCTCTGGATTATGAGCTCCCGTCCGAGGCGCGCTTCGCCCACGGAAACAAAGAGTGGCGTCAGGCGCCCGCCGTTACGGCACGTGAGCTGACCATGACCACAGTAATGAACCGTGTGACTGACCTCCCGAACTGGCATGTTGACGTCTTCAATGGTGTGGTCGTGTCGCGCTGGCGGCAAGACAGCACCGCCTCCATCGAGATGAATCCCCTGCTGAGTGACCGGGCTTGGGTCTGGTGCGTGCGGGAACTGCGCGATAAGGCCGTCGAATATCGTCAGAAAAGACATATCCGGGTGCTGGACACTGGGTCCTGCTTTTGCAAGTCTGATCATGTTCCTGCGCTTGGAACGGGGGAGCTGGCTGATGAGTTCCAACGTGCGGTATTACCGGTGCTCCGGACCCTCATGAAATCCAGCTTGTTGGATTGGCGGTCAAAGTCTACACTAAGTATCGTCGATCCGAACTTGTTTCCACTAGTCTATGGGCAGAGCTTGGTTTTGGCCGATGGGGGTCGAGTGGAGATAGAAAATGTGCTGGGCGCATATAAAAGAGCAACCACCCTTGCACCGACTCATATAGACAAGAGAACAGATTCGGCAGATGTCCAGAGTCAGATCGGGAGGTGGCAGAAACTGCTTCTGTGGGTGAGAGCCGACTACAAAACAGCGCCTCACTACCGGTGGAGCACAAATTATCAGGCCCTGCCGTGTGAAGTGGAGTTTGTCGGGGATGCAGAGTCGACGAAGGTGCGCCTCGCCTCATATATCAACAATCTACACCCGATGCACCAGGACCTCTACCGTTCAATCGAAACGCTGGTGGGCCGGGTGATCCCGTTGTGGAACGACTGTCTGGTGCAGGGACAGCGCGGCTGGAGCGACATCCTGAATCAAGGCCAGCTGGGGCCAGTGCCGCTACGGATCATTACGTATGGGGTAGAATGGGAGAATGAGCTTCCCGAATGGCTTCTCGCCTTCCGGGTTCCAACGAAGGCGAGAAAAGAGATGTACCGCAGAGCCCGAGAAGCGCTCTTGAGCAGTGCGGAAGACAACACGGACGAGGGCCGCAAAAGGCACCGAAAGGCGCAAGAAAAGCTGGAATGCTTTCCAGACGTGGAGGGAAACGAAGACAAGGAGTTGCCGCCCCCAGATTCAAACCTCTGGCAACGCGCAAAGGAGTATCTTGAGCTCCCCGAGGATGGATCGACCACTCCCGTTCCTGCCCGGGAGGACTGGCAGCAACACATCTGGTATGAGATCGAACACAAGGTCAAGCGGCTGCTGCGCTTCCGTCACCCAGAGCCAGGGACCGCGTTTTCTTACGAAGAGTGGAAAACTGGGCGCCACAATGAGAGAGCCGTGGTTGATCTCGTCCGCGAGCGGAAGGATTGGGGCAAAATTCCATACAAGCCAGTCACGCCTCCCCACAAACCCTATACGATTCGGCTGCAGGACACTTTCCGTTCGCAAGGACTGCAAATAATTGTAAACATGGAGAACATCGAGCTTGCCCCTGGCACCCAGGACTACAAAGGAACGGAATGGCACATGGAAGGCCAGCTCAACGAGCACGTGGTAGCTGTCGCCGTCTTTGCATACGACATCGACAATATCACCGAAGCCCAGATCGCCTTCCGTCAGAATACCAAGCTACATGAAAGCTTTTATCGATATAGGGAGGATAAAGAGAAAGGGCAAATGTGGCATCCCCGATTGAAGCCGGCCCATCGATATGGGAAACACGGCTCAGATTCCAATGAATTGGCGAAGATCCTGGGATATGATGGCTGGGACCTGGACACAGATAACCACGCAGTGAGGACATGGCAGAATATAGGTGCAATTTCGGTCTCGGAAGGGCGTTTGATCGCATTTCCCAACCTTGTAGAGCACCGCGCTGAGCCCTTCTCCCTGGCTGATCCGAGCCGCCCGGGGCATTATCGTTCCATCACGTTGTATCTGGTTGACCCTCACTATCGTGTCTGCTCCACCCGCAATGTGCCCCCGCAGCAGCATCACTGGTGGTCACAAGCGGTAGGTGAGGACCTGAGAACTGCCGGTCTACCCCAAGAGATGATTGATGAGATCATGAAAAACACAGGCAACTGGCCTATGGGGTTGCCGGAAGCCCGGCGGCACCGCCACGCGTTTTTGAAAGAGCATCGTTGGAACAACTTGGTCAGGATAAATAGAATGGAGTATCCGTACTTCAATTGTTGAATATATACGATCGGGGGCACTAGAAGGTTTGTCGGGGGCCGGAGAGGAAATTCTATTTAAGAGTGATGTTTACATAGATACTACGGCAGTCTCCAACGGCCAGTGCACCATAACTCATTTTTTTCGCAGTATACTTTATGATATTGGTATTTTATACATCTGAATACATTAATATCACAACGATTTCAGAATTCAAGTTGAATGCTTGTTGGCTTGTTGAATTCTCAAGGATTAAATGCTTTGATTATGACCTAAGTAGTTACCTCTTAATACAGCGTTTTTGCACTTTCAAGTTCGCTCGTAAATTGCATATTTCTCTCAAGCTCGTATTACAAAAAGTCTTTCTCAGTTAGCCTTCTAAACTTTATAAATTTGAGACGTATAACAAGCGCAGAATGAGAATCAGCAGAGAGAGCTATATTGATAAAACAAGCTACATACTGCCCCAGTAGAGAGACATGATCTCCTATCTCAACCAGAGTAAAAGCCTCACCAAAGCCTCACCCTCCTATGAGTATGACTTCAGTCTGAGTCTGAGGATGAGGAAGTGCTCGAGTAGCTAAACTCACTCTCACACTCGCTCGATGGCCCGCTCGAAGAAACGCCACCACTCTCGGGGAACCGTTCTTCAATTCCCCGTGTCAGGCTGGTGATAGAAGTTGCAAGCGACTTCACGATGTTTAAATGATTGTGATCAGAAACTTCTCCGGCGAGAATATCATGCTCATAGGTCAAAGAGAATAGTCGAATACTCTCTTTCATCGTCGCTCCTTTCTCGGCAGTGAGATCACCATCTTCTATCGCGCTATCTATCGCGGCCAAGGTCTCCGGCCACTTGAACCCGGACGCCGTGACTTGAACAAACTCGAACGCCTCTTCCCCGACGCGAGCTTTGAGCGCGGCCTCTTGGATTTCAAAGACGGCCGGAGTGCGGGCCTCCTTGATTTCCTGAGCCATTTCCACCGCTTGTTCCAGATCATCTTTGTTCACGTTATCTTGCGCGATAGCATTGTTGGCGGCGTGGAGAACCGCCTCGAAGACGAGGGGGAAGGATTTTGCATCAGCATTGATATGGGGAAGCAGCAAGTTCAGTTTGTACCGCGCAGAACGGGGTATGTTGCTCGACAACTTGCTCACGGCCGCCATGCCTGGGGTCTTGGTGTGATCGGCTGCGCTCGGCCGGTACGCATCTCGCCAATTGTCGTCCATGAGGTACTTGGCGAATTCGTCGAAATAGCACATGTGGCCATACTCGGTGGCACAGCCCGGGGCGATGGTTTTGTCAATGCCCGTGTCCCATTCCAATTTGTATACGTAGTAGTAGTGCAAAAGCTCGTAGGGAGCAGCTTCGTTGTTGGCCAGTACGTGGGTGACCAAGCCCAAGCACCAGAGGAGAAGCAGATTGAACACCTTCATTTTGTCTGGCGCATAAGCTAAACAAGAAAACTTCGAGGGAGTGTGTACTCAGAACAACGAAACCAATAACGAATGTGAGATAAAGAGTGACTGGCTAGGGAACAAGAATGAGAGACAACAATAAGGAGTGACTTCCCACTGAACACCACCGGCAAAGCGAATGAAAAGGAGATAATTCTATATGGAATAAACAATACGAGGGAAACAGAGACTAAGAGAGAGAGAAGCAATCTCGCAGACAAATTGGGGGCTAACAGGAACTAAAGCGTCCATTGTGGCACTCGGCCTAGACAAGATATTGAATCTCCGTTCCCATGCTGATTGTTCGGCCGTGTGTCATTTATCTTAGCATATCAGGAGTGTTAGTTCATCGGATATCTCGGAATCTGAGATACTTCCTCGTATCTCGATGCCCCAGTTGGAAGATACGGAAATTTCTTTCGGAGTCCGACGTATCGGCAATTGGTGTGTCCTTCAAGAGGAAGTGAGAGACTGGTGGGCGATGTTTCATGCATACTGTATCGAATACCTGGCCTGAGCTAAGGCGCTGTTAGCCTTGGCGGGTTAGTGCAAGGTTGGCTAGTGCTTGTTTAGTGCTTGTTTAGTGCTTGTTTAGTGCTTGTTTAGTGCTTGGCTAGTGCTTGGCTAGTGCTTAGCATAAGCTTTGCCCCTTAATTCATCGGTTGGACCCTGTATTCGGTTAGCACTCTGGTCGACTTATTTAACGGTGGGACAGGATCCGGAATTCCGCAGGGTCAGCATTTAGCCTCGTCTGCGAACTCCTGCCCAGCTACTCCGTACTCCGTGCATAGACGACATATCCAATCCGAGTACGAGTACCCACTTGGACAATTTTTCGGTGACTATGGCCCCATGAAATTGACATACTATACTCCTTCCTCCGTACAACAGTCTATACCCTGCTACGACAGCCCGGGCGACAACTATCCGAATGTATATATATGTACTTGCGTTTTTTGCTGGTAGTACCACTACTAATCAATCATTATTAATCAAGTAATAGTATGCAACTTAGCTTACATCTTCTTCTGTATTGATCTGAAAGAATACCATATTTATTACTCGTGGCGTGCATGCATTAGCGTACAATATAGTTCTCGCCCTGGCTGTCGTAGCAGGGTATCTGTGGGGTTCCACCTCTACCCAGGCTTTTTTAGCTCATGGATAGCGTGGGATATAATTCAGTAATATATACAGATTGAAACCAATTTAATGTTTCAACAATAGGGCTCTTAACTCTCAATTTGACATATAGTATACCCTCAAAAATATGAGCAACTACATAGTATGTCCACGGATGTCCGGTTCACAATAAATTCGTAAATCCAGGGGTTTATATGATACAGGAGAGAGCAATTAGAGGGATTCGACAAATTAGATATAATACCACATACAGGCGCAATACTAGTGACAGGCAAATTCTTACCCCACAGGAAAACGTGGGTGGGTGAACCCCACAGGTATAGATTGTTGTAATCAGAGTCATAGCCATACGGCTCGGCTCGGAAGCATGCCCGTCGCGGGTGATAGGGGAAAATAGTTGATCTCGACGCCATGCGCTATTTGATTGGGAAACAAAATGACTCATTCGTAGATACTTACTCAGGCCTAGCAACAAGATGATATGCTGGAAATTCAGCATTCGCGGGGTGAAGTGGATCCCTGTAAATGCGAATGGTAATCACTATGTCCTTGGTATCACTAATAGTCATATGTACTGCGTATCAGTGTCACATTGAGAAGGCTCGAAATGTCCACATATCAATTAAATTTCAACTTATATTAAATTATGGAGCTTCACGGCGCACACGAGCAAAAAGGGCAAGTTCGAACTAGTGACGCTCAAGCGGAGTAAAGCCCCAATCTATGCTAAATTTATATGAAATCTCGCTCCCAATGGGCACTCCACCAATTATCATTCTCGACCACATGTTACTTACTAGTGGCAGCAGCCGCCGTAGCAGAAGCACAGTATGCACTCTCAAAGGCCAGAACTGTGGTGGCTACCTCGGTGCCACACGCACCATTCGAGCAGTCTCTGATGCCGTAGTAGAAGTTGATGTTCTCGCACAAACAGGCAGCGTCAGGAGTACTACATCCGAGGGACGAGTATTGGGCCAGCATATTGTTGAAGCAAGTCTGACCGCAGGTGGGGAGATCGGAGATTGCGGTGGGACTGGCCGTAGCGCTAGTGGGGGTTGATGCATTCGTAGACGAAACGGTCGTGGTGGTACTAGTTACCGGATACGTGGTTTCGGCGGCAATGGCCGAGGTGCAGTATCCGCTCTCAAAGGCCAGGACTGTGCTCGCCACCACGGTCCCGCAGGCGGCATTAGCGCAGTCGCGGATTCCGTAGTAGAAATTGATGTTTCGGCAGAGGCAGGATGGGTCGGATGTTGTGCAGCCCAGGCTATCGTATTTTGCTAGCATGTTATTGAAGCAAGTTTGCTGTGCAAGAATGGATTTAGTAGGTAGACTTTACTGGGGGGGGGGGAAGGTCTTACGCCGCAGGAAGGCAGTTGGGTGATTGCGGTGAGGGTGGTGGTGGCTGATGTCAAAATGGATGTGGTTGAGCTAACAGATGTTGTTTGGTGAAGGCTGGTCTCGGAAACAGTGCTGCCGGTGGGTGAGGAGGACACGGAGGATGAGCTCATACTAGTGGATGGGCTCATACTCGTGGACGATACCGTACTCGTGGATGATACCGTACTCGTTGACGAGATCACAGCAGTGGCTCTGGTTCCATCGAAACCTGTTGCAAAGACGAGGGCTCCATCATCCCCAGCGATGGTGGGAATAACGGTAACCGATCCGGCGGAATCGTAGCTGGTGATGTCCATCAACACGTCGGCCCAGATACTAGAAGTGCAGACGGCGCCTAATCCAGGACGTGTCGAGTTTTGGAAGTTGGGCAGGTACACTCCATAGTCACTTTGACAAGGGTGAATCTTCAGTCAGCCTGCTATGGAACACAATTGATAGGTTGAACAACAAACACATAGCATACCTGGGACAACAAACGATGTATGTGTCGGTGACATTATACGTCTCCCAATCCTGGGGACACACCAGCTGCTTGTACGGCGGCAAGATACTAGTTGCCACTGCACTATAGTAGAACTGGCTGGGATAGCAGGATGAAAGCGTCATGGTGGGAACTGGATTGACAATGTTCTGCCAGAGCTCAGTTGACCATGCTGCTATCTCGGTCATCCCTCCCGCGCATCCTGGCGGTTGGGTAAATACAGAGGTAACCACTAACGGATCACCCGAGGTAGTAACACTGGGTGAGGTTGTAGTGAGCGAGGAGGATGCAGAAAATGTCGAACTTGTCGATAAGAATGGGGTTGAGACGACTGTCAATGAGACCGAACTAGTGGGAGTAACACCAGAGGTTACGAGGCCAACTGTCTCCAGCTGGCCGAAGACGGGAGGTAAGACTCCGAAAGTAAAGATCAAAAGTCGAAGGACGGACTGCATCATGGGTGATTGGTCTAGCGTACCAACAGCGAAAGAAACAAGATGGCAAGATGGGATAGGAAAGGAGAGAAATAACGAGGGCTACAACGGAGGATCAAGAGTTTCAAACTCAATCAAATAAATACAACAGATGCATGCAGAGCAAGTCCCAGCAGGATGGACCTAGTATAACTAGTATCGACTAGTATAGACTAGCATAGACTAGGGTCTTCAAATTAAAGTCTTATCGCAGTAAGGCTAGCTCGCTCCGGTTCATTAGCCCTAATTGTCGACTTCAACTTTAAGTGAGTCATTTAATCTCACTCCCCTCAGGTCGCAATTAGCGATATGGATCTCGTCGGGGGTCATTCCGCTCTCGGATAGATCGGACCCCGGAGGAGCTTTTCGGGACAGGAAATTTCTTGTTCGACCGCAGCGTTATATATGTATGCATGCCATGAGGGCTCAATCATCAGCAGAAAGCCCTTCCACCAGCAATCCCCCCTTCGTTTCCCCAGTCACTCTTTTAGTCATTCATTCACTCATTCAGTCATTTCTTTCTATAGTCATTCCTTTACTTCGCTCATTGTGCCTTGACTCTAGTCATATGTGCCAATTCCCTTCGCTAGACCCGACTCCTTAGCCTAAAGGTCGTTCTATTTCGTTCGTTCCTCCTAGCATGCTGAAAAGATGATGGCATTAATGCGAGGAATTCTCACTTTGTTTTTGATTTTTGCTTTCTGTCTCAATCTGATTGGGGCCTCCCCAGCCGCCGACCCTGCCTTCCATCTATGGCACCAGCGGCGGGCCATTGCCCATCCACCCAGGCCACGGTCCCTTAATACCTCAACCAGTGACCTATTGCAGGCCCAAAAGCTCGTGGAGGCCGCTGTGGCGCAGCAATCTGAGTACAATGCCTGGAGAGTGGCCAACCCCAAACGCAACACGTATGAATCGCGCCACTCCAATGCTACCCGCTCCTCGACCCAACACAAACGGTCTAACCAGCCGGTGGCGCCCACGTTGAACCCCCGTCTTAGAGCTGCAGCCGCTCTCCTTGCTGAACGCCACGCAGCACAGCAGTTGAGGAATGGTACTCTCCACAAAAGTTACAGCAAGTTCACAAATCTGCCTAAGCCCCTGACCTTGGCGAAACGGGACAGCGTGAGCTCGTCATCGAACTACTGGCCGGCCCAAGTCGATCATGGCCTTCCACCTATGGGGTGGGATTCGTCCTACCCCGTCTATCGAGATGTTACCGATCCCAAGTTTGGAGCCAAGGGCGATGGAGTGACCGATGACACTGATGCTATCAATGCTGCAATCTCTTACGGAGGAAGCTGCCAAGAAAACTGCGAGTCATCCTCGACCAAGGGCACATTCATCTATTTCCCTCCGGGCACATACCTTATCTCCTCGCCTCTCAATGCCTCTTACTACTCTCAATTGGTGGGCAATGCAAATGATCTTCCGATTATCAAGACTTCTCCCTCGTTCATTGGCCTGGGCGCGATTCAAAGCGACGTCTATATCCCCAACGATAATGGCGATGAGTGGTACATTGAAGTAGGTCGACTCCTGAGACAAGATCTCTCTACAAATAGAACTGACCCGTCATCTTCAGCAATCCAATTTTTATCGCCAGGTCCGAAACTTCATCATTGATATTGAGGAGACCACCACCGCGAATGCGGCGGGATTGCACTGGCAGATAGCTCAAGCGACCTCCCTTACCAATGTGTACATTAGTGCCAGCTCGACGGCCGGAACCAGCCAGATGGGCATTTACACCGAGAACGGCAGCGGGGGATTTATGTCAGGCTGCACGATCACGGGTGGAGCGTATGGCATCTATGGTGGTAATCAACAGTACACGGTCCGCGATTTCCAGATCGCCGGCCAAACTAACGCGAGCATCGGCTTGATCTGGGACTGGGGCTGGACCTGGTCTGGATTGCACCTCTCTAGCTCCCCCATTGGAATTAGCTTGATCAATCCTCAAGATACTTCTGGTCAGCCATCTGGATCTACCTACATCCTTGACAGTATGTTTGATGAAACCCCCATTGCCATCCAGGCGAGTTTTGAGCAATCAACCATCTTGGAATCAAGCATTATCACGCTGGACAACGTCGGTGTCAACGCTGTCGACACAATGGTCGCCTTCACAGATGGCACGAGTCTTGACCTTCCTAATGGTGACGTGGACTTTGTGGTTATTGGAAACCTCCAGGAACAATCTTCCAAGAGTTTTGGGTCCTACGAAGTGAATGTGCAGGACCCCCCGCCTCCTCTTCTGGATGCTGCTCAGGACCAGGTCATCTATCGGGACACGTACTTTTACAAGGATCGTCCGCAGTATGAGACCCTCTCGCTCAGCAGCATTGTCAGCGTCAAAGATCATGGCGCGGCGGGCGATGGAGTCACAGATGATACCGCAGCCATTGTCGCCTCGCTTTCCCTGGCCACAACTGACAACTTGATCTATTTTCCTCCGGGGTCCTACATTGTTACCTCCACCATCGTGATCCCGGCACACGCCCGTATTACCGGGCAAGTGTGGTCACAGCTTGTGGCCTCGGGCGACTATTTCGCCGACATGACCTCCCCCAAGGTCATGATTCAAGTGGGTAATCCCGGTGATGTGGGGACGGTGGAAATCAGCGACATGCTTTTCACCTCCATTGGAGAGCTGCCAGGATTAGTGATGATGGAATGGAACGTCCAGGCCGAGATCCAGGGCTCGGTGGGCATCTGGGATTCGCACTTCCGGGTGGGAGGCGCGTATGGAAGCAAGCTGCAGCTGGCTGAGTGTCCCACCAGCAACTCGATTGCATCGGGCTGTGTGGCCGCCTCTTTGATACTACACATCACCCCCGAATCCAATGGCTACTTTGAAAACATGTGGCTGTGGGTAGCCGACCACGATATTGACGACCCAGCCAATACACAGATCACTGTTGGGGTTGCTCGAGGAATGCTGGTCGAGTCAACCTCAGGACCAACCTGGATGTACGGCACCGCCTCGGAGCATTCGATCCTCTACCAGTACAACTTTGTCAATGCCACCAACACTCTAGCCGGCATGATACAGACCGAGTCTCCCTACTATCAATTCACCGATGCTACCGAGTCACCCGGGCCCTTCAACGCGTCGGTAGGCTTGTTCACGAACGATCCCACCTTTCCGGATGTCACCTGCACAGCGTCGCCGGAGCTCTGCAATTTTGCATGGGGGGTTATCATGAACGAAAATACAAACCTAACCATTGCGGGCGCGGGTCTCTACTCCTGGTACGACAACTACCTGGAGACCTGTGTGGACACTCAGAATTGCCAGCAGCGGATGGTCCTGGACCAGGGAGAGAACCAGGGATTGTACATATGGAACCTGATCACAATTGGCGCCGTGGAGATGATCAGTAATACAGACGATAACAACATCATCCTCGCGGCGAACAACACGCAGGCTGTCGGGCATCCCTACTGGAGCGCCCTGGCCGCCTATCTGGACGACTATGCCCAGCCAATTTTCTCATGCGACGATGACTCCACTGACCCCGCATGTCTGGCTAGCTGGAAGTGCGATTTGACCCAGCAGTACGCAACGATCGACGAGCTCAACGGGGCTCTGGGCAGCTATCCGGATCAATGCATGCCGTACTACGCAATGGGAACCCTCTACACCACCTTGAACGCATCTCTCGCCAACTATACTGATGCCAACCAAAACTACAACAAGTATTTCAAGTACTACCAGGAATATGTCCGGGATATGGTCCCCGATGCAATCAAGGCCTTCATGGCCGAGTCGACGCCCAGTCAGCCCGGGGGCGGAGCTGGCAACAAGTACTTCGATTGCACCTGCGAGGGGTACGGTCCGACCTCGACGCAGCAGTGCCCATTCACCTACACCCAGCTGATGGGCGCCAGCGCCTTCACCATGACGTACACTCTCAAGGACTCAAATGGCTTCTACAGCGAGCTTGAAAGCACATACGGGATCAACCGAACCTGGGTGACCTTTGGCAACGATGGCGGGCCCGTTCGTCAGATCGGCCACTGCATACCGGGAGAGTGCTCTTCGGGGACCGATTATCGGTATGTCAACATTCCCAAGGCGGTCAAGTCCAACAAGATAAATGTGACCAACCCCAAGGATATCATCACCGCAGCGATGCCCTCCATCGGCACCCTACGTAACAACCTCCTCTCGCGCGAGCTGGATATAAATTTTGGCGCGTGGGGCGGCGGTATGCAGGACCTGCTCGACACCTTCTCAATGCCCGTCTTCATGCTGCAGCAGGCCATCGCCTCCATGGCCAGTGTCAAGGCTATCGGCGAGCAGCAGGCCAAGAAGGATAAGATCAAGCTCGTCCTGGAGATTCTAGGGATTGCCTTTGCCTTCATCCCCTTCCTGGACGACTTCGCCCCAGAGGTGGAGGTGCTCGATGGCGCCTTCGAGACCATCGCCGCTACAGGCAACGTCGCTCTGGGTATTCAAAGCATCGTCTCAGACCCCACCTCCGCCCCTATGGTACTGTTGAGTCTATTCGGCGGCGGTGGGTTGCGTGACGAGGACGACTTCGCTAAGGCCGCCGCTGCGCGTCGCGCGGTGACCGAGGATGACTTGGAGAGTATTGGCAAGGATTTCAAGGCCGAACAGGACAAGTTCGACGGTCTCACGGAGCCAAAATGCCGTGTTTAGGTGGAATGGATGAGCCAAATTCACCACTGCGAGAGAAAATGCCCATCTGGTCAGCGGGATCAAGCTTCCCAAAAGGATTGTGTGTTTTTGGTGTAAGCGGCTATTCATTACAAATTACTGGTGCGACGAAGCATAACCGCAGAAATATGTCTCAATCCAATCGAATATGTTGAAAGAAGGGTAAATATTTACAAGTTAGATACCTCGACGTGCAAGTATATAATACCCCGAATATACGATACGTAATTGAAAGGATATCAATCTTCACGACCCCTGCAATAGACGGATTGGGAGGATACATGACTAGAAAATCATACTCCAAGGTTCTCTATAACGCCTCTGAATAAAAATTCTATCAAATCATTACAGGCTCTGGTTACTCTTTTACTGCTTCTGCCACACCCCCTATGTGATTAAGATGAGCCATTCAGCCTGCCGTGACGTCTTAACGGACCTTGATAATTGCCCATATTTCGTTGGAGCTATTCCTGCCGCTAGTACTTGCCAAGGACGTCTGGTTCATCCAGACTCTCTCGCATGGCAAATTTCCATTCGTGTCAGCTCATCTCATTCTCTTTCGTCGTAGCCCTGGTGAGAGATTTTCTCTGTTATATGAGACTTTTTTGCCCATAGTAGTCAAGCAGCTGTGGAGGCGCAATCTAGTTGTGAATAGTTCAGAGGGCTCACTGGCACATATACATTTGTAATGAAGGATGAAGTACTAAATTCCCACCAAGCTCACATACACTTTTACTATGGGATTCACTATTATTCACCCTATCGTTGAAGTTCAAATATGGTAAAATGGGAAATGGTCTTTGGAGTTAAACTTAGGGCCATTTCAGTATATGATTTTATATTGTCGCAATACTTCCTTGTTGATAACCACTCCTTCGGGCAAGGAAAGATTGGCTAAAATTCCACATGCTATCTTTTGCTAATTGCCTGGTTGGTGTATTTCTCTCTTCTTTTTGGCTTGTTGGTGCCATCAAGCTGATAGCACCACGGTCGTCCATTTTCCAGAAACATCAGCACCATTGGCAACCTCCTCGGGGGTGCAAGGTTGGTGATACCATACATTGAATTTACTCTGGTCCAAAGGGCTCATATGCATCAGATCAATACGAGCTGCGCGCGGAATCACGTCACTAGGTGTCAGACCAGCAGACTCATGTTTGATAACGTATTCCAACAGAGTGGCGAGATGATCAGATGTCCAGAAACCTTCTCGCCGCGGGAAGTGACGCACTAGGCGTAATGTCTCCCGGCGCGTATGCCAGTCACGGCATTTAGAGCCAGTGAAATGTAGGATTTGTAGAAGCATGGCTTTAGTGGAGAACATCGAAGCTTGCTCCGCCAGACTCACGTAAAGCGCCGCTAACTCGTTCATCCGTTGGAATTCGGGCAAAGAGGAGTCATGGGCCATCTCATCCAGCGGGCTCTTAAGACAAGAAAGTATGATATCACTGGATATAGTCCATAGCTCCATCAGTATTACAGGGCCGCGGTCTTGTAGCGATAAGGTATCCCTATTTGCCGAAATAAAAGCGTGAAACTCGCTCTTCCAGCTCATTAATCTCTCCCCAACCGTCTTTTCCGTCTTATTCTGATAGAGTAGATCGGCAAGGGCAGTGTTCAACCTCCGTAGACTATATCCTACGCGGAGCTCGAGTCCCTGTGGATAATTTGACGTGATAGCCGCTCCAAGGACAATCGAAAAGCCACTTTCAGATATTTCCGAATGCCCGTATACAGGCCGGCATCCGGTAATCGCCTGCCAGAGCGGTAAATCATCCGCTTCTGCGTCCATATCACGCCGTGCTTGAGAGAATGTAATTCGATGTAGCTGTAGATCTGAAAATGTGCGCGTTAAGACCAATCCCGAGGGATTCCCGTCAAAATTGACCTTCTGCCATTCCATAAGCACGCTATAACCGGACCGTAAGTGCGAGGTCACGGCCTTAACATCGCCCTGGAACAGAGATAGCGACACTAACATAATACACGAAACAAGAACCGCCTCTCTATGCGCGCTGATTGTGGTATATGTATCTACCTTTGTTAATCTCTGCCGTAGAGAAACAAGGGCCTTGGTGCACTGCGCTAGAGTGAAAGATGGAATTTTGTTCACACTAGGCTTAGCCTTAGACAGCGACTTCAATTTGGAAGAGTCGGCTCCTTGCATGAATTGCCAATGCATAGAACTCAGCGCAATAGCCGCATGTCGTACAGCGGGTTCCTCCTCGGCGACCTGGTGAACGAGTCGCTGCCAAAACTCGTCGGCCATAAACCCGGTGCATTTTACAGAAGTATGCGTCTTGAATAAATCGAGATATTGCCGTTCCACGTGCGAAAGACCCACTTGGCTTGGATCCAGTAACCGTCGTGCAACGAAATTCGGGGCCAAATAGGGGGCCGAGTAGGTGGCTGAGTAGGGGCCCGGGCTGATGACTTGTATGTCGCGGATGCCGCGTTTACGCCGGTCCGGAGTCTCCATGTATTCGCATACCCGGCCCGTATTGGTGCACCTCCGACACGAGGGGTGGGTTTCATCGCATTTTTTACGCCCAATTCTGGAGTGTTATATTAGTTGCCGTGGATCTTATTGGTGGCCGCGTATAAGCCTACTTACTTGCACGCTTGGCAGCCAGAGCGAACCTTCGGGTGGCTTGCCCTTATTCTTGTAGTATTTGCTTCCGGGATCATCTTAAATTTTCGGAAACCTCAATTGCTTTATAAGAACCCACAAAGTGCCGGCGATGGCCTATCTGTTTTTGTTAACATAGGTATTGGGTTCACCGCCTTAGGCTTCAGAATATATTTTATAAGCAAATGACGCACGCGTGGACCGCACCTAAAACGCGTCTATGAATTTGTAACCTTGTTGATTTGTATAAGTTATGTGCATTTGACCCTGTTATTTTTGAGTATTTTGCATATATCCTCTATGTTGACATATACTCCGGATAATGTCTGGCAAATCTTGGCTTTCCCACTACTAAAGAAAACATTCAAGAATCATCCAGGAGTCTTATCATTTGATGACTCTGATCAAATCAACGTCCCAGCTGGACCCTTGGAGTATCCAGCTCCATAATCAAGTCATCAGGTATATGGGGTTGCATCGTCGAAAGGGTCACTCTTGGCTGAAAGCTTGACGCTTGGTCCATGGCTTGATGGCCGGCCCTGGTCCTCTATTGTTTCAGCAGAACAAGCTACCACAGGCGTTTTGGGCCCATCCAGTGATCAAGTATCCGGTGCCGTGAATAATGAAGGGGTGTGTGAATCAAAACCAAACCAAACAGTGTTTCCGGTCAGGTACGTGTCCATGTCCAGGTCGGTGCTGTGATCGCTATTCATGTCCCCGGATGAGGACCTAAGGTCGAATGCCATGCCGCCCTAGGTACCTAAGAAATATTTAACAAGGTCGCCGACTTCTTTCGGTCCTTGCTACAGCTACATCTATAGTATTCTGCTACGCCGATTGAATATTTTGTCCTGTGTGGCATCATTTGATATTGTCACGAGTTGTGTTAGAGCCAACATAAGACGAAATATCAACAATTCCCTGTATTGGTCCTAGGATAGCCACTTCGTGCGGACTTTATTTGGTATCTAAATCAAAGTAATGTGCACATGATCGTAATAGAAACTTAGAATCTCAACTAAACTGAATAGGATCCCTCAGGCATCAAGTCAGTTGTGATACTGTAGAGCCGCAACCTTGCCCCACAAGGTCCCGCGGGTTAACCAAGGTTGGAAGATAAGGTTATTGTCCTAAAGGGGCTCCACCACAACGGGGGAACAAAGCTTCACTTAACATACCACAAGATGGAATATGGGTTTCTTCTTGGCAAGTGGTATGACTTGTTGGATTTGATGGTTATGCTTACTGACTCTAGACTACCACCACATCGCCTCGGTCTGCGTCTCTTCCCCTTCTTTGATTTTGCTGATACTATATTTCCTATCATATTCGCCGCTCAAATATCATGTTTGAAATAGTTGGAAACAATTGTAGAAGATATAATCTTGATATGTGAACATACCATCCAACTAAGCTGGAGGGAATCTATTCTATTGATATTGCTCTCGGAAGACCATAATCCTCTCCACTTCATTCCCAGTAGCATCCTCCTCCACCCAAGCACGCCACATACCACCACAGTTGAAGTCGAATACAACCTTGCCCCGATTTAGTTTAACATCCGATCCCCTGTTTACAAGGGCAAATTCTGCCTCTATGCCGATAATACCCCCCTCGCCCTCGCCAGTCTTGGTCCACCTGGAGCCGGCGGAACGTTGAAGTTCACCACCAGGCCCAGAAACAGCCGTTACTGCGTCCGCAAGACCCGAAGGGAACCTGCCGGGTGAAGAAAACCGTAGCATTGCAGCAACCGTGCGCGCAGCCGCAACCCGAAGGAACGAGTCTCCATTCCCAGTCCCAGAGACCGCAACAGCCCGCCGATGAGAGTATTGAGCAGAAGGTTGATAAGAATGACAAGCCTTCTCAGACCCCAAATCCAGCTGCCGAGAGGAACCATCACCCGAAAGGGACAGGTAACTAGATAAAGCCTGATCACGCAAGAACGACGGCATGCAATCCCCCAGCCAATTCCTCGCGTCGTGTAGCAAGCCACCCACCGAGGAATCTCCCGGCACTACCTCGCCCCCACCCGACACGGTCTCATCCCAAGCCTCAGCCCAGAACCCAGCTCCCAAAGTAGGCGTATCACCAATTCTCCCGGGCAACTTATTCGTCAAACCACCGGTACTAGTAGCCACAGCCAGATTCCCCCACTGATCCAAACAGACACAACCAACAGTCCCCTGACTCAAAAAAATAGGCTCCTCTTCACCCTTCAAACCCCTCACATGCTCATCCCACCTTTTCTGCGTGAAGAACCAATCATCGGAACAAAACTCCATTCCCCACTCCCGAGCAAGCGTCTCAACATACGGACCAACCAGCTGGGAATGCATACTCCCCCCGTCATCTACGGGAGATCCATTGGCGTCGACACCCGCTCTGAGAAGCGATTCGCGCGCGAGACGGATCGGATGGCGCACATTACGGACACCCATTACGCCTGCGCCACGCTTGATTGCGCCTGGTTGTGTTGCGTGGGGAGGGTTGATGGATGTCACCATTACTGAGGCTTCCATTTCGATAGTGCCGGCTGTTGTAAAGACGCTGCCGCGGCCGCAGTTGAAGAGAGGGTCGTCTTCAAGGAGGGAGACGGCGTGGACGGCTGCATCCAGAGCTGTTGAGGAGGGTATGCGTTGAGCGGAGATAGGATTGGAGGGAGGCGTGGTGGGCGGCGTAGAGGTCTGGGGGGAGTTTGGAGCGTTGGATGTTTCCAGCGCCGCCGTGGATGATTAGGGTTGGTTTGAATGATGCTGGTTCTGTCATCTTGCTGGGTAATTGACGATGGTTGGACTTCTAAGGTTGGTTGTTGTTTGGTGCGGGGAAAGAAAGATAAGGCGGAGTTGTCCGAATTGGGGTATCACTTTCTAAATACATTTATGTACCAACATTGCATAATTGCAACCATATAGGGCTATGTACAAAGCTACCTAATTGAATACCCCGTGTGTAGAGTTGAATCTATCACGATGGCAGATTCCAAATAAAGTCTAACGTCCCACCCTCATACATCGGAAATTGACATCCATGGCTCATATCAAACGGCGCCATCGATGGGTCAAATGGCAGCGAAAGCCAGTTATCTGCACCAATATCATTCAAGGAAGGGATGTATCCCAGCTCCGGCGGTGGGTCCTGCAATGCAGGGGCCCTCGTGAGATTTGCCCGGTCACCATTGTCCGGCCAAGGAGGGGGCCCCATGGATGATCTTTGTGGGGCGTCTTGACTACTTTTCACGACTTTTGACGATGCAAGCAGATTGCGCCGCAAGCGCGAGACATGCATCTCTAGTAGCGCGGCATATCGTGTGCTCAGATGGACATCATCCAAGGCGTTTGACTTGAGGGCTTTGATGCTCTTTTCTAGTATTTCAATCGATTCCTGGAGCTTGGCTTGGCGCGTGCCCAGACTTAGCGCTTTCATCAAGAAGATCGAGGCACTGGTTATGCGGAGAACAATTCGAACTGGTGAGAATCGTAGTGCCCCTACTTCCGCTAGGTGAGTGACTTTCTGCAAGATCTGACCACATCCATCGATCACCTCTTGGATATATTCGTAGTCTGTTGGGTCGATGGTCATGGGTCGTACTCCATCAAAGTTGTTGGGGTCGTTCTCTGCGACAGCACGCTCCACTACTGCTTGCATTCCCACTGAGTGGGTGTAGACGCGGACGAAGTGGTATTCGATGAATAGATCGTTGTAGAATGCTTTATCAAGTACCTGGGGCTGTAGATACTTGTCTTTCCATTGGTTGAGAAGAGGTCGGAAGTGCTCAAGAAGACCAATATATCGGCCACTGTGCAATTGCTGGCGTGCAAACGCCGCAGAGGGGAAGAACATATCAGTGACAGACTTGGCAAGCTTGGTAAGCTCGATCCACGAATCCATGAAAGTCAACCACGTGCTGCCCGGTAGACTCAGTCCTTGTGGTTTACGTCCGCCCAGGATAGCATGGTTTAAGGATTGAGGAATCGGTGACATGCATCCGATCCGCCAAGCCAATTGGTTGATGTAGACGTATAGCAAGCGTTGTACGCGCTGCCAACGAATTGCCATCTGATCTCTCCATTCTGGTTCGTCCGCTGGTGAGGTGCTTCCATCTGTCTCGAATATACCCAGTTCATGTGCAAGGGACAGCGCACACCCTAGCAACATCCAGGACATTTGGTCAGATCGGCGTGCTGGTTCGATTATATCCTCTACCCCGCGACTGCCCGGTTCTGAGCTCGGATCGTTATTCTCATGATTCCTGGGCGCTGGTTGGATCAAATCATCGTCCCAGCCATCCGTCTCAGGCGGAAAATGTAGGGCGCGAGGGTGCCATTCTGACATCAACAAAAGCGCCTCCACAGTACCAAGACTCCGCACCTTGGATTTTGTTGATTTTTCTTGCCCAAATATCAGCCGCATCGTCAACTTCTGGGAATGGGACCATAGTCGGTGGTGGATAAAGAAATTCCTTGACTCCCCCCCTGCACCAGGCAGGACGTGATAGCGGGAAGAGATCATGAGAATAGTGCAGCATAGAACTGGCTCCCGAGTAATCAACCAGTAATGATATCGATGATTGGCGTAGAAATCAGTCAAAATCGGAGACAAGCAGGACATGTTCTTATAGAACCTACTTGCGGTTAGCTTTCATTTGGCAGACATTAAACATGCGAGGGAACACACAGATCAATAAACGTAACAGCCTCTCTAGCAGTAAACCAGCCCATCTTGACAAATCTACAAGCCTCCCAGACATTGAGAGTGTCTTGGGAGGCATCGGATAGCTTGACGGGGCGTATTACCCGTGCCACCGACTCAAATCCGGAATCGTAATTTCCAGGCGTTCGATCTTGAGTACTCGGACCAGCCGATGGAGGCCCAGCTAGCGGTTCAGAGCTAGTATCAGGACTATTTTCTTCTTGGGCAGTTGCAGCTTCGAAAAGAATATTGAGTGCATCATTGCCACTTGAAACGACAGTTCGCATCATAGTGCTCGCGAGCGTAGAATTCGATCGGTGTTTGTTATTTTCATATGTATGAGAAGGGGACTGATCAGTTCGTGAAGGCCCTGCAGAATGGTGATCGAGGGAGCCACGATGAGACCCCGCTTGATCCTGATGATATTGCCATCTCGACTGAAAATTCTGCTCCTGATGAAAGTTGTTCTCGGGTTTTGAGCTGGCTACTTCCACCGCATGATGCGAGTTCTGTGTCCGATTTTGTGCGAGGACAGAAGTATCAGGTGATGCCGTCGTAAGTTGACTGGAGTGGCGGGGTGAGACATCCGTCTCATAGCTCTCTGGGGATCGCGCTAGAAATTGACCATTTAGAAACCAGCTGATTCACATGTGGTAAGCACTCAATTCTAGCGCACCTCGTTTGCGGGATCTTTCCCACGCCCGTTTCTCCGGAAACACACACTCCCTTAGTTCCCTTCGGCAGCGCGCACATGGTGGGCCGATCGGAAGGCCATCTGGGCCGGTTCCTAGATCGCATTTGGCCTTCCTTTGTCGGCAAGGGATGCATGCCTTGTAAGTGCGTTGGTACGGCTTGTCCGGACGGGAGGATCTGACACCATCCATCGTCAACCGTTCCTGGGCGGGTTGACCAGGAGCTCGGTGCTGGAAGTGGATTCTGTGGATATTTGGTGATGCTGTGGATAATTGCAGGGAGACAAAGAAATGCGATCGAGCCAGGATTATTACCCGGCGATATCCGTCGGCCGCCCCGCATAAGCTCCTCAGGTGTCCATTTCAGGATCGTACTTTTGACTAGATATCAAAATTAATCTAAGCAAATTGGCGCTAATGCATATATTTGAACATATTTTATGAGTGAAATCATATTCTAGTTTATTTTAATTTTGATTAGTCATATTCCCCCTTGTTAGAACGGCACTTAAGAGCCAATAGAAGAAGAAATCGAAGATATATATGTGACACAGAATATCAAGGCTGCAAGCCACAGGGCTCTAATGCGATTTGGGAAGTACGATGTACACTATAAGTAAAATGGCTCACGTCACAGGCAAATAAATTAGAATAATATACGTAATATGCCCCGAGAGTCATAGCCGAAATGTACGACAGCGCTTGAACTCGGCTTCAATATGACGGAAGTCATTCCGCACCGTATACTCTACATGTACAAGGCAGTCCACATGGGTAAGGTAAACGGCACATCAGCTCCGCGACTGAGGAAAAGTGACTTAACATAGTCAAAGTGTGTATGTAGCTGGGTTTATAAGCTCTTCCGTCTAGGCCCTTTTTCGTTCCATCATCGCCACTCCAATATCCCATAGATCGAATACCAACCCTTCAGCCACAATGACCGACACAGTGACTCTCTACACCTATTTCCGCTCCTCCTGCTCTGCCAGACTCCGGATAGCCCTGCACCTAAAACAAATTCCTTTCACATCCGTCTACGTGAACCTCCTAAAGGGCGAGCAATCCTCCCCAGCCCATCTGGCCATCAATCCCTCAGGAACAGTGCCAGCCCTAATAATCCAGAGAGGCTCCAAAGCACCAGTGACAATCACGCAATCTCTCGCCGCACTTGAGTACCTCGCAGAAGAGTTCTCAGAGCAAGGACCCGCGCTGCTCCCTCCGATCTCGGACTCAGAGACCCGCGCCGTAGTCCGCACTCTAGCGGACATTATCTCTTGCGATATACAGCCTGTTACAAACCTCAGAATCCTTAAGCGAGTTGGGCCGCTGGGTGTTGATCGTGCTGAATGGTCAAAGGGTTTGATGGAGGATGGCTTTAGGGCTTATGAGGCTGTTGTTAAGAAATCAGCCGGGAAGTTTAGCGTTGGAGATTCCATTACCATTGCAGATTTATGTTTGATTCCTGCTGCCTGGGGAGCTCAGCGGTTTGGTGTCGACTTGGGTCAGTTTCCTGTTACGAATGAGATTGTGAAGAACCTGGAGATGGAGGATGCCGTTAAAAAGGGGCATTGGAGGTCACAGGATGATACCCCCGAGGAGTTCCGTATTAAGGAGTAGCTGAAAAGACTGTAACTAGTGAATTTAATACTCTCAATCCATGCTCCTAAAATATTCTATCGTCATGCTAAGGGATTGAATGACACATTGAGAAAAGAAAGTATAGTAGGGAATCGTTTATCCTAGTTGGGTTGGTCAAATGAAACTAGCCGAAGCCTTTGACCGCGAGCTCTATAATCTAAAATTGAACAAAGCTGAAAACAACATAACACATTGATCATTTATTTTGATTTTGAGCCATCTACTGCAGCGAAACGGCAGGCAAGATAGTGCCAACACAGTCGCCGAAGCCGACATAATTTCCTTCTGTGCCAGCCATACCGCGCAGAGTAACAGTGTCACCATCCTCAAGGAAGAAACGCTCAGAGCCATCCGCCAGCTTAAGAGGAGTCTTGCCGTTAGTCTGTTCCAAGAAACTACCCTGAGTCTTAGCCTCTTTACCAGAGATAGTACCCGATCCCAGCAAGTCGCCGGTGCGCAAGTTGCAGCCTGTGATAGTGTGGTGAGCAACCATCTGAGGGAAAGAGTAGAGCAGGTTGCGAGCATTGCTGTTAGAGATAATAGTTGGCTGACCACCGGGGTTGGTGACCTCGACATCAAGCGGGATCTCGTAGGCGCCCTCGGTGCGCTTCTCGCGCAGGTAGGGGAGCAGAGACTCGCGGTTTGCAGGCTCCAAACCGGCAGCGCGGAAAGGCTCCAGTGCATCAATCAGAACCACCCAGGGGGTGATGGTGGTACCGAAGTTCTTCGCATTGAAGGGGCCCAGAGGAATATATTCCCAGGCCTGGATGTCACGGGCGGACCAGTCGTTCATGAGAACCAGACCGAAAATGTGGTCCTCGGCCTCGTCAATTGGGACGGGCTTGCCGAGATCATTGGGCTTGCCGATGAAGCAAGCAAGCTCCAGCTCGATGTCGAGCTTCTTGCAAGGAGAGAAAGTAGGCACCTTGGGGTCCGCGGCGGGGTTCGCCAGGATTTGACCCTGAGGACGGTGGAGGGGTGTGCCTGAAGTCACGACTGATGATGCACGACCGTGATAGGCAACGGGCAGGTGCTTATAGTTGGGCTGGAGCGCATTGTCCGGGCCACGGAAGAGCACGCCAATGTTGTAGGCGTGGTTCATGCCAGCGTAGAAATCGGTGTAGTCGCCAATCTGCATGGGAATATGGTTGGTGATCTGGGACAAGGGCAGCAGAGCTGACTTTTGGAGAGAGGCATTGTCCTTAAGGACCTGTGGGAACTTTGTGTCGGCGCGGAAGACGTTCTGGAGATACTCGCGCACTTGACGGTGCACAGGGCGACCAAGTGCAGCGAAGTCGTTCAGTGTCGGCTGGCTGAAAACAGCTAGGTGTTGCTCAATGACTGGCAGCTGTGAGAAGCCTCCAGATGAAGCAAATGCGCTCAGGTTCAATGCATGATCACCGATTGCAATTGCTGCTGCCTTTGATGAGGACTGTGTTGAGATGATGCCGAACGGGATGTTGGCGAGGGAGAACGGCGAGTTCTTGGGGATCTGAAGCCACGAAGCCATGATGAAGTAATGTTTGAAAAGGTTAGAGAAAGAGAAAACAAGGCCCTTAACTACTTAGCTATAACGTTTCCCCCCTTCAAGTAGTGCGGAAATTGTCCGCTCCCCCCGCATTCAGCCGATGCGGAATGAAGGATAATCGCGGGAATTTCACGATTTCCGCGGAATGATGTTACTTACACTCACATTAATTGCTTCTTTGAGAGCTGAGTTCCGAGGTTGATCTGGGGTATTTGATGAAGACAAGGTTCGCATTATCCACCCCACATCGCACATCATTATCAATATGCCCGTCACTAAGTTCAACCACCCTGATCCTTACAAGTACCAGACGGGCTTCGACTCGTATCACGAGTATGTATACACATGGTTTATAACACAAATCAACTCAGATTAATGAATAAATAGGACGGAAGCCGTCGAAGGAGCTTTGCCAGTCGGCCACAATTCCCCACAGAAAGCTCCATATGGCCTCTACACCGAGAAGCTCTCGGGAACGGCATTCACTGCACCTCGCCATGAGAATAAGCAGACATGGGTTTACCGGATTCTACCGGCAGCAGCTCATGAGAACTTCACCGCGGAAGATGCCGACTCGTATCATACAAGCATGACAACCGAGACTCACAAGCTTCACCACATCCCTAACCAGCTGCGATGGAATCCCTTCGATCTAGATGAGAAGGTCGACTGGGTGCATGGACTCCACCTGATTGCGGGTTCTGGAGACCCGACCCAGAAGCAAGGCTTGGGAATATTGATGTACGCCGCAGGCAAGGACATGGGCAAGGAAGCCTTTTACTCCGCGGATGGAGACTTCCTTATTGTACCTCAGCACGGTGTGCTGGACATCCAGACAGAACTCGGTCGCATTATTCTGCGACCAAATGAGATCTGCGTTATCCCTCGCGGTGTTAGGTGGGTATCTTCCATGTCCTACATGGGATCGATAACTAATAATTTGCATCAGATACCGAGTGACCCTCCCAGACGGCCCTGTGCGAGGATACATCTGTGAAATATACCAGGGCCACTACCAACTCCCGGAGCTGGGCCCCATTGGATCCAACTGCCTAGCCAATGCACGCGATTTCCAAGCCCCCGTTGCTGCATTTGATGACGAAGAGGAAAGCGAGTACAAGCTTTACAGCAAATTCAACAACACGCTCTTCTCCGCCCGACAAAATCACACCCCCTTCGATGTTGTCGCCTGGCACGGCAACTACTACCCCTTCAAATACGATCTCGGCCGATTCAATGTTATCGGTTCGATCTCATTCGACCACCCCGACCCTTCTATATTCACTGTGTTGACGGCTCCAACGGACCACGTTGGAACCGCCGTTGCTGACTTTGTCATCTTCCCTCCTCGCTGGCTCGTCGCGGAGGGTACTTTCCGCCCACCGTGGTACCACCGTAACACCATGTCGGAGTTTATGGGTCTTATTTCTGGTGACTACGATGCGAAGATTGGTGGTGGTTTCAGACCTGCCGGTGCTAGTTTGCACAACGTCATGAGCGCTCATGGTCCCGACTCGGGTGCGTTTGAGGGGGCTAGCAATGCTGAGCTGAAGCCTCAAAAGGTTGGTGATGGAAGTATGGCTTTCATGTTTGAAAGGTTAGTTCGATTTCTGCTGTCATTTTCGAGAGTTGCTACAGTTGCTAACAATTATTCAGTGCTCACATGGTCGGCGTTTCGGAGTGGGGTCTTAAGACCTGCCAGAAGGTGCAGCCGGAATATAACGAGCACAGCTGGAAGCCTCTGAAGCGGCACTTTGTCAACCCCAACAAAGCGGCCTAAGCTATGGCTTGGGCTTGAGCACTGCAATAAGTAAATGTGCACATTTTCCATTATTTTCAATTAGCTCTATAGCATAGCAAGATACTAGAATTAAATCAAATCTATTAAAATGGGTTCTCATTATTGCATTGTTATTCCAAATGAACTTGATGAATTAAATTACTTCTCGATGCTACATAATATTCACCCCTCAAGCTCCTTCCTCATCGCCTCCTTAACTATAGCCCCGCACATCTTAGCATAAGGATTCGTTTGTACAGAAAGCTGTTGTGCAACCTTATTTCCATATCGACCCCCAAAGAAGAAGTCCCGACTAGCCATTTCCTCAAGCTGATCAGCCGAAAGTCCACGCAGACGCTCCGGACCCGTCGCCTCATCACCAGAACCAGCCTTCTTAACGCGCGCCGCTTTCAGTAGCAAGTAACCCCGATGCGTGTGTGCATCAGCCAACAACCGTCCTTGGGTTGTTGAGACCGCATCAGCAGGGGAGGCAGGTGTAGCCAGGGTTATGGCTTGGCCCAGGTCAGAGAAGATGCGGGAGCAGAGCTGGGAGGTTTTAGGAGCGAAGAGGGCAGCATCGGCTATCTCGGGGTCGGTGCTTTGATCACTCCCCGCTTCTGCGCTGTAGATCAGATCGACCAGCAAGCGAAGTGTTTGTGCTCGATTTGTGTATGCGGGGGGGTATTTTGGATGTTGGGCGAGGAGAGTGTCGAAGGCGTCTAGTGCTGACTGGACTGTCTCTATACTCGTTGATTTGTGTGATTGCAGCTTGCGAATGATGTCTGTTTCGCGCTGCTTGAGCGATGTCAAGTCTGTTTCGGTGATGTTCAGAGATGATGGCCATGAGGGTAGCGATAAATTAACGGTAACTCCCGATGATGGAGATGATTCGGCATCAAAGAGAGCTTGCAGTACAGCCGAATCATTGGATGTCAATGATGGGCGAGCAGCTGTGATAGATGTCATCTTGATTTGGTGTTGAGGTGAAGGGTTGGCAAATAGTGTGAGATACAAATTGTCAGAATTGGCTCACTGCAGTCAGAGTAATTGAAGAATAAAGAATAAAACTAAATGAGACTATGTCAAAGAATTGAGGATCTAAGAAATTGAAACATCGGATATTACGATGATCTCAGCGGGTCCGGATATCTCCGGCTATTCCAGGGCCCTGAAATAGCCGCACAGCCGGGAGCTCCTACGAGTCCAAATGTCAGTAAAGTGGATTGGATAGATATCCGCCGAGACAAATCGCGGCCACTGGAGGACCAGTCATTTATAAGAAATGGAATCGTAGACTTAACTTCAATACCTCAACCACCTTTCATCTTGTACTACATTCTCTCTACAGTTTATCTACCGATATCATCATCGCAAAAACATAAGAGATTCAGCAAAATGGCCCCTTCAGCTATTTCCGATAGTGCTCCTCCCCCAGTTGCCAACGAGGCATCAGTAGCTAGCTATCGAGGTTACGACCATGTTCACTGGTACGTTGGCAATGCCAAGCAAGCCGCAAGCTACTACATCACTCGCATGGGCTTCAAACGTATCGCATACAAGGGTCTCGAAACTGGCAGCCGCCACATCTGCTCCCATGTCATCCGCAACAACGATATCACTTTCATTCTGACCTCCCCTCTACGGTCCCTGGACCAAATCGACCGTTTCAATCCTGAAGAGCAAGCCGAGCTACGGGAGATCCATGACCACCTCGAGAAGCACGGTGATGCAGTCAAGGATGTTGCCTTTGAAGTTGACAACGTCGATGATGTTTTCTCTGCTGCTGTGAAGAATGGTGCCAAGGCTGTCTCCAACCCTAAGGTTCTTGAAGATAAGAGTGGCCATCTCAAGACTGCTACCATCCAGACTTATGGAGAAACCACCCATACCCTTATTGAGCGCAGCCAGTACCGTGGTACCTTTATTCCAGGTTACCGTGCTGAGTCTGGCAATGACGACCCCATTGTGCAGTTCTTGCCTGGTGTTCATCTCAAGCATATCGATCACTGTGTTGGAAACCAGGACTGGAATGAGATGGATAAGATCTGTGAATAGTGAGTTATTACCCATATTCTCTGCTTGAACTTCATTTACTGATACTACTGATTAGCTATGAGAAGGCTCTTGGCTTCCACCGTTTCTGGTCCGTTGATGACAACCAGATCTGCACGTAAGTGTTCCAACCCATTTCAGCTGACCCCCAGACACCATGACTGACCTCATAATTATAGTGAGTTCTCAGCTTTGAGCAGTGTCGTCATGGCCTCGCCCAACGAGATCGTCAAAATGCCCATTAACGAGCCAGCAAAGGGCAAGAAGCAATCCCAGATCGAGGAATACGTTGACTTCTACAACGGTGCCGGTGTGCAGCACATTGCACTTCATACCGACGATATTATCCGTGATATCACCAACCTCAAGGCACGCGGTGTCGAATTCATCAAGGTTCCTGAGACATATTACACGGATATGCAGGCCCGCCTCAAGGAGTCTGGCTTGGTACTCCAAGAAAGCTTCGAGACCATCCGCAGCTTGGACATTTTGATTGATTTCGATGAGGGTGGCTACCTGCTCCAGCTTTTCACTAAGGTATGTGGAAATAATCACTCCGGTATCCGTGAAGTTATACTAACCAGGCAAATAGCACATGATGGATCGTCCTACCGTGTTCATTGAGATTATCCAGCGACACAACTTCAACGGCTTTGGAGCCGGTAATTTCAAGTCACTGTTCGAGGCTATCGAACGAGAGCAGGAACTCCGCGGAAACTTGGTTTAAGGACAAAAATATTCGTATAGTCGGGCATTTTCTTTATGAGCCCTTGCAGTTGGGAATTTGCATGCATTTAGCGAATTAGGGACCCTTCCTGAATACCAGTTTTTTAACCATCTTATGTGATAACAGGTAGCTTTCTATGTAGGAACAGATAAGATAGATGTTGAGCTTTCTATTGAGTAACAAGTTGCGTGAAGAACTATCTAGGGCTACGTAGGCGCTATAAATGAAAGATGTAATGTATTCGACCCCTCCCAGTGAGGAGTATATAGGAATCAAGTGGGTATACCTGTGTTATGTTGAGGGTCTTCCAGCTGACAATTTATATTTACTCCGGGAGAACTAGCAGCTCAAAGAAAGCATTTAAAAGAGGTAATTTCAGAATCTTAGAAGAACGAATACCTACTCTTCTTTATTTAAACCGAGCAATCCGAAGCAGTTCACTGATCTCACTACTGAATCCCACTCATAAGAGCCGAAAGAAGCAATCCCTACCATTCAGTAATCCTCCATTGACCTTCGAGTTCAACCTCAGTCGGTGTATCGATCCAACAAATCCGTGAGCTCACGCTAATTCTGTCGAATCCTAAACCGATGTGAATCTAGACTTCTACCTAATACATTTATCAATTCCAGACCAGCATCATCGACAACGTCCTTGGTCATTCGGTCCTCTCCACGTTGAAGTTGCTCTATCAAGTATGCTTTCCGATCGAATATGGCCCTTGATTCAGCGAGTAAACGCTTCTTATCATCAAGCCATTTCTTTTTTGTCTGTGCCAACTTCTTCCTTGTCGCTGCATGGTCCGGTTCTTCTGACAACCACGTTATCACAAGGCCTTGGGGTTCTTAGCAATGAACAGGGGACGGGTTTATCGGAACGAAGATGTACCGAACGTAGTAAAACTGCTTAGAATTAGACCATCTATAAAACAAACCAGATCGCATCCTCTAGTGTCTTCGATATCATTGTGGGTTGGATGTTGAGTCTGGTTGTGCGGGTAATCGGTGAGTAACGGACTTGCTTTTTCATGGATAACTTAAGGCAGGTGAGTATGAGATATTGATGATGTTATGATTGGGTTTGCGCTATTTAGGTTGAAGCAAGCTTTTATTAAGATTGAGATAAACTGTGTTTTTTGTACCTATATATAATACTAATACTCTTTCACGGAGGGTTATATATTAGTTTTAGTCTCGCCCTTATTTATTTACTTCCGCTTCGATGAACTCGAAGTAGGAGGATTACCTCCAACCCGCTTGAATTTCCTTGGATCTAGAGCTCCGTTAGTCGAGTGCACTCTCAATAACTTTAGAATGAAAGACATACCTTTCCGACTCATCAAAGTTTTATTTCTCGTTCCCTTTCCACCCTCCCAGAATCCACTACCTGCCTTTCCAATCAGGACCGCTTTGCAGATACCGCAGTTCTCGGGTCTGTAGATTTGCTCGCGGGAGCAGTAGCCACATATCATACGATTTGCGTGTTCGTTCGGGTGGTCGGTTTCCGCGTCATGACATCTAGACAAACCGATAAGTATGGTAAAAGGTATTGGGGGATATGCAGTGGGGAATCATACTTGTCACAAGGGAAGACCTTTGAGCAGCAGCTGAATCTGTAGGGAGTCAGTATGACCTGTTTGCCGAATGCTACCAACTCATCGATAGTGGATGACGTACCTGAACCAGCGTTGACTCTTGGCATAGTGCTGGCAACGACCGCGTCGCGGAAGCTCTTGTCCTGCGACAATGCCGAGGACTTCTTGAGGCTGGGATAATTGTTAGATTTTATCATGGTGATGCGCTGTAGATTGTACAAACCTTTCTTTTGAGGGGGAGGGCTCCACGAGAAGTGACTAGATGGCACAATGATGAGTAAACGTGTCTCTTGATGGTTCGATATATCGCGACTTACTTGCTGCACTTCCCACTAGAAGGAACTTCACCTCAGGGATCTTAAAAACTAAATTCCGGATATGTTAGTAGCCAAACAACAGACATCATTTATTAGAACCTACCCATTTTGCGATGACACTGGCGACATATACCCATAGCGCTCTCGCCGCGAACTGCAGGTATACCCGGTGCCGGATGGGGAGTCGAGCACTCGGAGCAAGTTGGGATGAAGTCACTATAGGAAGATTAGTCAACAAATATCACTTTACTGATATGAATGAGGGAACTTACCTAAGAAGCATGTCTCCAATCGTACAGCCACCTAAGTCAAGGTAGCCAGCACGATTGGCATGAGAATGCATCAACTGTCTCCGGAACGCTGCAAATGAGAGTCAGTAACCCATCCTAGAAAGGAGAAGGAGGTTAAGTGTATACTCACCGACACTCATATTATTAGCACATTTCCGGCACGATTCCATTTTCGGCATCTGGCCCTTCTCGTCGGTAATTTGGGGCACGTTCTTAACGTCAACCGCCACCTTACACCTCTCACATTTGATCGTAATATTGAGGCTCGTGAGTTCCAGCAGCTCAACTCCGTAGAGCTCTAAGAACGGGAATGAAAGTGCGACGCCTCGTCCGGGCGCGTTGTTATCCACTGATGCGGGGACGGGCGCACCACCTTCTTCGTCTTCTTCTTCATCTGAATACTCATCTTCCTCGTAACTAGACTCGTCTGATGTCCCCTCGGCGCCGTCGGTGGGATTAGGAACCGACCATTCGGGTGGTCGTGGAATGACAACAAGATGGGGCCTGTCTTCATTCTCTTGAGTTAAGGACCTTGCAGGTGCCTTTGTAGGCTCCTCAACAAATTCTTCCTCGTCCTCTTCGACAGTTGGAGGTACATCTTCGGTGGGTTCCTCCTCTTTTGGTAAAGGCGTTTCAGCAAACTTATGGATATTGCTCGCTAGGTAGTTCACCTGAGATACCAGACTCAGCTGCGAAGTTTGTTCTACCCACTGAGTGAATCCAACCTCTGTGGCTTTCACTTCGGGGCCTTCGACTCCCTGCAACTTGATTGAGCTGTGCTCGAGCGGGTAGAGCTGTGGCACAATCAATTTCACTGTCTTGAGTGCTTGAAGTGTTCGCGGCAGGCGATCCTTTTTGGTTGGCTGGATGGGAATAACATATGTCCTGCCATCTTGCAGTTTTTGGTACATTGGCAGTCTTCCAAGGCGCGCCTCGAGCTGTTTTGTCTCGGTTGCTCGTCTCTTCTCAGCTGCAGCTTTTGCTTCGGCTGTGTGTTTAGGGGTTACGATTCGTGCTTGTGGTGCTGGCTTAGCAGCAGCACTCGGCGTTTTAACATGACCTTGAGATGAGCTCGGCTGGCTTATAGTCTTCTCCGGGGCCTTGATGGGTTCTTTAGTTGTAGATCCATCACCAAGGTTGGCAAAGAACTTCAGTGTTGGCCCACGCTCCAGAGTGGTTAGCAATGATTCGAGCTTTTTGTCCAGACTGTTTAGCCAACCCAAAAGAGTTCCTCGGCCATTGGTGCGGTACGTAAAATCAACAATATCATTGAACCCTCTGACGACATTTGCTTGATAAGCAGCTTCCATTTCAGAATTGGTCACTGCAAGCGTGGGCCGCCCTTTTGGGTATGAGCTTGGGACATGAAGGGTACACTGCAGTCTTTCAAGCTCAAAGGGGAAGTCCGGATCAGAAGGTACCAATCCAAAGGTCAAAGTAGTACCTTGGGAATCATTGACTTCCTGTGGACGGTAACGCCGCCTCAATTGGTTGATCTGAAACTCTCTTGGGTCTGTTTGCTCTAATTTGGAAACTGGTCTTTGGGGCTGGACAGGAGCCGCGGCAGAGCTCTGCTTCGATTGGTCCTTGCCAATGTTCAATTTCTCGACTCCAGTGACAATGGCTTGTGCAGAACTCTGAATTTCATTTCCGGAAGATTGGGCTGGCGTCTGCTGCCCCGAAGAAGGCTCCTTGGCCTCAATGGCTGATGCATCATGTAGATACGGACATGCTGCTCCAATTCGGCATCCTTGAACAATGTTAGCATATGACCTGAACGACACATCGCTTTCCTAGCAAATGACCAGCACCAAGAAAGGATACATGGGTGAAAGATTAGGCCACGGGTCGACCATGCAATACTGGTCATAACCTCGGTATCATTGACCCTTTGGGTGAACATGGCAGATGCTGTGTACAAGCATTCCCGAAGGGGCCTGTCTGTGGCACCCGGACTCCGTATTCAATGACGCGTCGATTGTTGCAGTGACAAAAGAGGCAAAGAGCCCTTACATACAGAAACTCAGAACGCAGACTTACCCTTTTTGGATTTGAAAAAGCGACATTTCTGCCGCCGAGTCGATGACTGGCGAGCAGCACTTGTTTCATCGGTGGATCCAACGCCATGCGACCGGACCGCTGACAACTCATCAGTCGTCAAAGAGGACGGCAGCTCTGTACCTGTTCAATAAAAGCATGATGAGCGTGTGATCAAAAAGTTTATGGGCGGCCGACTCCGATCCAGGCATATTCGCAGACCGGGACAACCCTGCACGCCAACAAAGTCCTCAAAGATAACATGGGGATTGATAGGCTTTGTGGCGGATGCAACATGTGGTGTATGGACATGCAACAGGGGGGGGGGCTGAAAATACGAAAGCCTGTGGAGGGTCGACCCAGATAATCTGCCCAAGTAGATCTCATGGAATTGATTGGGAGAAAAGCTTCCGGCTAGATGGCTTTTACGAGCCAATAATAGAATTATGCTTGACTCACCTTGGACTTGGGGTGTTGGACCCGCATTGTCAAATGACTTATTCTCCATACTGAAACTAAGCCTCGAGCCGTGTTGTGGGAGATGATCCAGAATGGAATGGCTGGGTTCTGAGCGACTTGGAGGTGACGCGCGCTGCCAACGCAGAGATCGGGTGACCTTGAGAAGATCGACAGGACCAGATCTGCACAGTAAGTAAGCCGAGATGTGCGACCGTCTGAACTTCTGTGATCTTTGAAGTCAAGGCGCTAAACCAAAAAAACGAGGCAGAAAAAGTGTGGTGAGATACAGCCACGTGACACGTCAAATGTGAAAATGGGCCACGAATAAGTAGTGGGATCTTAAAGTCTGAAGGTATGAAGATATGAAGCTATACAAGAAGTTATAGTTGTTTACGGTTTTGCTGGCAGTCAAATGCCAAGACTTCAGGCGGAACCGATGATCTCATTCGCCTTTCGCCTTTTGACTCATTTCCAGTCATATGTACTCCGCACTGTTAGTCACAATGAATCGATTTTGCCCTGAATTGCTTTCTAGTTGAAGATCACTAGAATGTTCGTGGGGGTTCGAATATGGAGTGCTTTGTAGATCCCTCATTAGCACCTACATCGCATGTTGTGTTGTACGGAGTACAATGTACAATGTACAATAAACAAGTTCACGCTCGAAAGGATTAATAATGATAACTACTGCAGGGTCCTTAGAGCTCACATTTAATATTATCCTGAATATGGCATTCATCATCCCACGTCCAAATCCCAACCAAATGCTGTGGCGTTCATGTCTTAAAAGCACACCATCTGCTTGCAGCCACAAGGGGAAGCGGAATCCCAACCAAAACTAACCAAGTACTAGTAATGATTGGCGATAATCTACCTGCACATCGCCATTGCATGCAGAAAACATAAAATAGAAACCATCAGAAAGAGAAACCAGGAGGGAAACAGGATCCCGAATTCCAGTCTGCCAACAGAGCAAATAACCACAGAGCGCGGCATGCGCCTTATCTCCCACATCCATACCGGGGGATATCCCTTAAACAAGGGTTTAACCCCGGCCAGCGAGGCGATGCAAATATAAGAGAAAAAGGTAAACATCCACCGAGAGAGGAATACGACCCGACGGACGCAACAAGCTTGCAATATTCTCAACAGCCACCAGTGATGGGCGGCGGTCGGTCCGCGTTGCGCGGAGAAGATGAGGGGGTTCGCATTGGGGTTTCTAGAACTCCCGCATCCCTGCGTGATGGGTGCGCCTTCGCTAGGGTGTGCGTTTAGCCTGGATGCAACATCGATCCACTAGTCACAACGGCTATCTTGCTTTCTTTTCGGCACTAGATATAGCTCGTGTGTGTGTAGTCATATTTCGAACTCTACTGAGCTTTCCTGACACATCGGATGGGGTTAACGTGTTTACCCCGACATTTCGGGAATTTGGTGGTAAGCTACGGAGTGGAGTAATAATGTAAGAGAAAAGGAAGAACTAGGGAGTGTATTCAAGACCTGAAATTGAACGGTGCGACAAAGCACATGTACATACTCCGTACAACATACTATGTTGTGTACAAAGACAGAGAGGATTCGCACGTTAATCTAAAGGAAACTCTCACATCCCACACAATAGCTGTGGCGTAAAATGTGATTGAAGGAAACGGTTTTGGCGAGGCTATCTGGAGGTCACTTGCACTTACAGTGGGACCTCTAATGCTGTACTCCGTGCATAAACCCTGTCTGTGGCTGCCGCTAGTCGGACACCGGTATCCAGCCCAAGCCCTCGGAGAGTTACAAGATATACAAACTTGTTTTAGATATAACATCCCACATAGACTGTGATTTAACAGCTGAGCAGTAGTTTCAAAACAAGATGAACTGTTCTAAACGGTATAAAGCTCCATACAACCGAAGAAACTCCGTACCAGGGTACAAGGGTAATGAAAGTACTAAGTTGAGCCTCGGTCAATGGTATTGTAAGAAAGACAAATGGTATGGGAGCTCCGCTCCGCGGTAATGAGCGTTCCGCTGTATGCTGTATGCTGTAATGTAAGAGCCAAATACAATACGGTAAAGAAAACACCGAAAGAGGCAAAGCGCAAATCGGACCTTGAACTCACCAGCCAACCGGATCATCCTTCCAGAAGCCTTCCAGAATCTAGCATGGTCTTCCGTGGATATTGGCGCATTTGACCATGGGCATAGCTTGCAGTTTTTCGTGTTTGAGCATATGTCGGCATTGGTATAGATATTGATTTGTCCGATTGTATATATACTTAATTTAGACTACAACCAAGGTTATTAACTCTTACATGACGGCAATTGACGATATTGGCATCTTGCGGGGTTTCGGAGTACAGAGCTCCTGGGAAAGCTGATGCACGTGACCTTTACCCACCGGAAGGCCTAGAATTATGGTTTGGCCAATTACAGGCACTGTAATTGGGTAGGGTTTTGCAGTCACTGGGCTGCCTTTTTTGGCCCATGGGAAACGGGTTTACACCCAGGCGGGGGCCAATGCCGACCGCCTCATTCGGGACTTCGCCGAGTGTTAATAATAGTCGGGATAATGCAGCATTTCATTAGGGACACGAGACGCGGGATATGTCGTGCATGTTAGTAAATGTTGGGAAGCGATTTGGGATAGGGGATATCTGTCATCGTAGAGGACTGATGCTGAAATGGCTGAGATTTCCCCCTGAGTTGAAGGAATAACAAGAAGTCGGTAAAGCATGGCCCAATCTAAATCACCTCTGCGCCAGAATTAAAATCGGCTCTGTTCTAGAGCGCAAGAGGCCTAGACAAGGATGGTATGGGTCATGGTAGGCCGATCACTTCGTAGTGGAGGACGATCAAGAAGAAATCAACGAAGATTCTTGCGCGTCTACTCCGTAGTATTCGCCTCAATCATGAAAGAAGAGCCTAGACAAAGCGACCAAAGCTGCATGAAAAATGCCTCAATCTGCCGACATATAGCATGACCTCCGTTTCCAGCTCACAGTCGGGATATCCTCGGATCCTCGCATGTTGTAGCTTTTGTTGACGAGCTGCACGCGGCATGCTACATCGGCATGCCGAGTTCACGTCGGGCGCATACGAACCCGACGAGCCAGTTAGGCGTCAATATTGGGGCAAAAGACGAGATCCACTTTTGCCTCACAACGCCTCTGCCTAACAGCCTTGATCGTGGAGAGGTCCGTGGGGGTAGTACGCGGTACCAACATAACAAGTTGTATGTCCCAATTAGGAAATGCGGAGCCGAAGCTGTTACATGCGTACAGCGTCAGTTAGAAACATTTCAGTACCGGTGAGACGCGGGAAAAAGGAGACGGCGAATCATGTCTGTCCCCGGTTGTGAAAGGTCCACTGAGATACCCACTTTTCTGGCCTGTATGAAGCTGAGATCAAGAAGACTCTTCTGGCCAGGAAAGAAGAGAGTTAGCCCTAACTGGGCAGGTGGATTCTGGAGATGGAGAATGTGCACACACTGTACTCCGTATACTCCGTACTTCGTAGAGATTTTGTGATAGCTCTAGAGGCTCTTGTCTCACACTGGCTGTTTCACTGTCATTGGGTCGGAACGGAAGAAAGAGGCTTATGATATAAAAGTATACGATCTGTATTATATTTTGCCAAGGTTGCTTTTCCCCGGTGAGTGCATGTGCTCAATTCGACATGAGGTCTGTTGTACCCATGTCATTGGCTTCGTTTGGTTCTCAGATCCATGTTTCTGTAGCAGTGAATAGTTCTTATTCGAAGCCCCACGGCCCGGGTATGACCGGAAAGACTCGAGCTTTTGCCAGGATGAGGATGGTGTCGGGTGTTTCAGGAGGAAAAAGTCTTCATCCCCACACCCGCTCAAAGTTGGAGAAAAGGTTGTGCATACGTCACTCGCTAAGACACTGCGGGACCGGGGGGACTATCTTAAATTATATTAGTTCGATATCGTGTCTATCGGTATTATTCAAAGATGAAATGAGACACACGCGAGAAAACAATCGAAAGAAGATAGATGAACACAATATAGGAATGGATCTCGGGCATCAAAATCCAACGGCTCCACCCCCGGATCATGTGCGCCGGTCATGTGCAGCTGCCACATGACTACTGTGGACACCCGACAAACCATAGTAAGGGCGATGATGTATACTCCGCAAAACTCCTTCTATTAGTATTGCACACCACTCTGACACATCTCTTGATGAAAATAAGCATAACTCCAACCGAGGCGGCATATGAAAAACGCAATTATGCCACTCATGACATCAACGTGATACAAATCCTTCAGTGCAGGCAGCCTTTAGTAAAGATCTGCACGTCAATCCTCATCCTTCAGGCAACTCCCACCATTAAGACATGGCAAAATGTAAGCGGAGGCGAAATCATGATGAAAACACGCATAACCCATGCTAGATCCATGTAAATACCAATTCCAAATACTCATGGTGTCATGATGAGGCCCTCCAACGGAACGTGATTCCCTCCTACAACTTCCTTTAGGGGTATATAGTAGTTTATACATAGTACAGGGTACCATAGCACCATTCCAAGCCTAAATAGCCTCCAGATCCAACCGAGATCAAGGAAGTTAACAAATTCCAAAGTACCAACAGGCCTAGAACTACTCACCCTGTCAGCCACCCAGCCCGAGCCCAATCCAATCACCCTGGCCCCTCATATAATACCACTCACCCCCAAGATCTCCGATGAGCTGGCCCTGCAAACAATGCAGGGCGACAAAGCCACCGCGGACTGAGCACTTATCTCGTCGAGTCGATTTGCAAGCCCATCACCACCTTCCGAGTCCCGCGGGAGCTTTGGCATAAACTAATGTAAAGATGACATAGCTTCTTATTGCATGTGTCAGCGACCAGTGCGAAGCCGAACAAAGAAGACAGCGCCGAAGAGGATCTCGTCGGTCGATCGGGTCGGTTTTGGAATAGCCCATGTAAACTCTCTCCGGCAAAGACTCCGGGGCTGTATGGGGTTAAATTGGGTCTCGTAATATAATCTAATCAAATATCAACATCACAACCTTTCAAGGTTGAAATATCATGATGT